TTAAAGCGGATAATAGTTTGTTTCTCTCAGTGAGGTGTAGTTGATTCCTCTCATGCCTTCATGGATGTCAGCCTCTCTTGTAGTTTGGTCTGTTTAAGCTCCTACGAGGAAGTATATCTGTTTTGTTATTGTGAAATAAGGGCAGGTGTCTTGTCTTTCAAAGGCTGATAAGAGGTGATGATGATCAAGAATGTATTTAGGATGACTGTGCATTGCAACACATGCATTATCAGAGACAAATGAGTTTACATAATTGGAATAACTGACAGCAACTAAAGCAAATCACAACATGAATGCATTTCAATTCCAAAGTATGTGTAAAGAGGCACAGGTTCCCATTAATAGTTTGATTACTTGAGGTATGCAGGACACGCTAGCGGTGTGGAGCTACAAATGCCACGAGTCCTTATGACTTTGGAGATCCTGAGGGTTGCCAACTTCTTGCCAACAAGAGCGGGGTGAGTTGGGTTATATGAAAATACTCCCGATGCATGCATGTCTCATATTACTGTGAGTTATGGAGAAAACCCGATTGCAAAAGGTGCAGTTGGCCTTGTACACATTCTTACTCACACATCCCAACCATTGATAATAATTGTCTCTTTCCCTTCTGTAGCCCCTCCCCCTTTTTTGCTGGTGGACTACACTCGTAGTTGCAATTTTTAAAATCTTGCACCCAGGGCTCTACCCAAGTCAGACTTTTGACAGTAAAATCAGATTTCACCGTTTAAAACAAATATTCACAAACTTGTTTTTTCTCCATATAAAATGTGACAGCGTGTTAATATAACATCGGAAACAAGCTAACTGTGCTAACGGTGGATAGTAAATGCTCAACAGCCCACTGTAACGTCACCACTTCCAAGTAGAAGAGAGAAGATAATGCTATCTAGGAGCTGTACAGTGGAAATTTTCTCCTCTATGCCACTACAACACATCTGCAGCTGTCTGTTCCAAAAAGTAATGTAAAAGTCAAGAGCGTTCACTCTGCAGCAAAATCTAGGGACCAAAACGTCCCCAGTACACTGCACAGCACACTGACTAGTTACAAAACAAACAAAAAACTGCTCAACTCGAAGCAATCTCAGTCCACTGAGGGGTCTCCGACTGGGGATTTGAATCTCCAGCTTTCAAGGGGCAGCAGCCCTACTTGCACTGCTGTCAGCCTTTTTGTAGCAACACTGTCACAGCACTCATGAATGACAGTGGCCTCTCATTTGTCGTGACTCACGATGCATTCTCTGTTTGAGTAGTGTAACGTAACATGACAGACAAGCAGAGGGATGAAAGATCAGGAGGGTTTCTTTCTATCTCATACAAATGGCTGTCTGTACTAGTATCTCACTTTAAAAAATATGGAACAAAGTGCATCCTGTATTAGTTCAATACAAAACACATCTTTTAGGTTAAAGTAACCGGATGATTAACTCTTTCCCCAGCACCACCATGAGGTTGATATCTGTGATTTTGAGTGAAATTTGGATGGATTGCTGTGAAATTTGGCTCTCGCATTCATGTTCCCAACAGGATGAATTCTGTGATTCATAAATTTTTCATTGAGCACCACCATCGGGCCAAAATTTTTATTTGTTTAATAGTTTAGTTTATGACCTCATACCTGCTGTACTTTGTTTAGTGCTAATAGCAAATGCTAGCATGCTAACACACTAGTTTAAACATAGGTCAAATGTATACTCCCTAAACATCACCACGTTAGCCTTTGCCAATTTAAGCATGTTAGCATTTAGCTACAAGCACCACTGTGCCGACGTACAGCCTCCCTCACCCTTGTTCAAGCAAAAATACCAAACATCATCATTGCTGCTTTTTTTCCTAATAATATACTAAATATCTTTGGGTTTTGGACTGTTTGAAGACATGTTTGTAGACTCCATGAAATTATTTGTGGCGAGAAATTTTCATGATTTCCTGTCACTTACAGACAAAAGGATAATTCATATATTAGAGAAAATGATTTTAGGATTAATCGATAATGAAAACGCTGCCACTTGTTAAATTTTTGTTGCACTATTTCCACTTGGCATGTTTGCAGTAATTTGACACATAACTGTTAAAGTATTTATTGGACACTTTTTTATTATTGTGAGGAAGTTGGGGGATGTCCATCTTGTGCAGGAACATTTTCTTGCTGACACTGCTTCTTGTAGGATTTCGTACATTGAGGAGATGCAAAATTTGTTTTTTGTTAAATGGGAATACTGCAGGTTTAGCTGCCAGGGTGGTCATATCGATGTGACTGATAGTGTCTTGGAAGCAGCCAGACTCTTAAACACCTGAGACGTTTAATGAAACTCATCTTCAGGTGGGGAAACATTCCAGTGTGACAGCATGAGGCTCTCTGCGACAGCCTCGGGGTAGAAGGTGAGAGGTGGAAGAGTAAACCGAGACATGGGGAGTCATGATCTCCACCCGTGCATTTCTGTTACTCAGAGACTCTCCTGCTTTGTTTATTTTTTACCAGATATTTCTCTGTCTGTCAGTTTGATTCCTCATTCAGCTTCTTTCCAGCCACACCTGCATCACACCAACCAAATGCTGTTATTTTTACTACACTCACTGTGATGTCGCTCTGTTTGCATCTCGCTTGTATTTATTTAGCCATCATCTGAAAGGCCAGTGGGCAGTGCACATAAAACAGCAAAATGATGTCATTGTTTTTAGGACTGGATTTGTTGTCAGGTGATGTGACAGTAGGAAAACTGTAATATTTAATGGGTTTCATGTTTTGCTTTGCTCCATTTCCATTGCCCCTTTGCTTTCTTGCTCTCACTGTGTTGTTGTTTGCATCCATTTTTTGCGTTAACATCTTGTCCATCAACCTCCACCACCCCTAATTCATAAGTAATGACCATGCAGCAGGCAGGCAGGGAGCCAGGCAGAGTAGCAGAGTAGACATGCCGGCTGGCCAGGCCTGGTCCCAGCGGACTACAGCCACTTATCTCTCACAATAATGACATATGCATCGACTGGCCTAAGGAAAGTGGCTAAAAAGAGACTCAGGATTTGAGAAGTCTCACAGCTCTGTATTTATGCACTGTATTATAATTGACTCAGTTAGTGTTTTTATTTGGAGACTGACCAAGAAATATTAATAAAGTCAGAGTAACACTGACATTATTACACAAGCCATCTGTTTGTGACACAAACATTACACTCATGACCATGAACGTTATTTTCAGCACAAACAAATTATCTAATGAAGAAAAAAAAACCCAGTAAACTCATAAATCCTGTTCTTAAACCATAAACAAAGTCTTCACATGAATCATTTGCCAATGTTTTGATGCCAATTTAAGGTGTATTCCACTTTATAGCATCAATATTTAGATTTTCTTTGATAAGTGCTGACCTTAACTTGATATAAGAGCCTGTTTTGTGTTCCTTGTTACAATCCAAAATACAAAGCTTGGAAGTACTGACATAAAGAAAAAGTCACCAGAGTCATCATTATTGTTACCTGGTTCTTTAGATGCCCACCAAACACATGTTGACCTAAAATACAACCCATATACTTAAGAAATATTTGTGTTTTAATTTTAACACATTGCATTGGCTTGACCCAAATGAAGTGATTCGTTATTTACCAGCAGCCGTCAGACTTTAAAAAGCTTTTCAGTCAGTAATTGTTTAAGTATATATTTATTATTCTGGGACACAAGAACAGCTCAGTTATCGTAATTTAAAAATAAAGAGTAAGGCACAAGCAAAAACTCACATAATTAACAAATAATGGGAAAACAAGTGGGACTAAAATGATACCCTGTGGAACACCAAAACATGGCCAGAGACAGAGTTTCACACAAATATCTATAACTTCCTGATCTTAACTGTTGACCACATCCTGAAATTAACCGTCCCCAGCACACCTTAGTGTATTTGCATAGCATATTTCCACACAAAGGCAAGTCAAAGTGTTTTACATAATGCATAGAAGGGATCCTTTGCCGATTTTCAACCAGCTTTGTATATAACAATATGAGTAGTGTATGTAAATAAACGGTTGTAAGACAATAACTTACACTCTTTCTATAAAATATGGCAACCTTTTGTTAATTATATGGAAAATCTCCCATCCAATATAACTGAATGACTGTCTGCATATTCTGTCTGTTTTTGCCACACAGATAGAACTCTAATCAAACTGTAATATATGAACAAATATTCAGTTTTTACATTGCCTATTTCTCACTTGAAATGTCTTCAGAGACATATTTTAACTTACTTGTTAACTGTAGTTCAAATCGTTTGTTACCAGCCAACTGCCATATTATTTGTGGATGGGAAACTCAAATTACGTTATCCACCAGTGGGAGTGTTGATTGGTCTGGTGCGGCACAGTGCATTCTGGTAGTTGTGTTTTTTTCTACCTCCCAAGGAATAGCAAATGCCACAGCCCTTTTTCTCTGGTTGTCTTGGTAATTTAGCACCAATTTCAAAGTATTTGCGCCAGTCTTCTGCAGTTTTATGAAGAGACCGTATTTCCAGCAGTGAAGTACTTGTTTAAAAACATTTAAATTAAATGCGGAATGTATCAATTTTTGCAACAACAAATTAAAAAAAGATTAAAAAAAAAAGAAAGAAATGCTACAAAGGTGAATAATGAGTGTTTGTCAAAGGTGGTACCTTATTGTTTGTTGTTCTCATTAACACTTAGCTGCAGTTACTCTGTTTATATTGTTACTGTTGTTGAATAGAGCAATTACTCTGGCATGCTTATATTACTGGTGGGTGTGCCAAACCCTCTGTAGAGAAAAATAACCTATGTAATTTGCATATCAGGGAATTTCCTTACTCATATCACCTCGCCTGTGCAAGCACGCCAGCCTGTCTTTGTTGCGCATGAAATCAACCACATCTATCATTACTTGAGAGAAAGGAACAGGAGTATCAACACCTATAAAAAGCTCCATCACCATAACTGTGAGAGATGATTCTCCTTGACTGACCTCTCCTCCCTCTCTCCCTCCCTCCTCTCTCAGATGACATGGCGCCCTCAGTACCGCAGCTCCAAGTTCCGCCACGTGTTTGGTAAGGCCGCCACCAAGGAGAGCTGCTATGATGGCGTGCCAATCACACGCAGCGTCCAGGACAACAACTTCTGTGCTGTCAACCCACGTTTCCTGGCAGTCATCACTGAGTGTGCCGGGGGAGGGGCCTTCCTGGTCCTGTCTGTCCATCATGTGAGTATCTCCATCTCATGGCAGGCTTTACTGTCTGATGTCAGCTTTTTAAAGTGACATGTGCATGTTTTCACTCAGGATGCTGATAATGGATACTGTAATATGTTTTGTCGATATATGCTGAGAAGGGGTACAATTTATTTACGCTACAGGGGGAAATTAGGGAATATAGATACAAATTGCTTTGCTCCAGAGCTCTGAATCGCCACTTAATTCAATGATTGAATCAAGTCTGGTGTTGTGCACACATTCAGACATTTCTCCGGGTGGAAAACAACTGAATTTAGTTTTTAGTTTTCTTGAAAGTTGGTAAGGTTTACCATGGAGGTTGTAGTAGATGGTGGTTTTGTTGTACTGGCTTGCAATGAAATGAAAGGTGCGATGGGGGAAAATTTGACAGGGAAGAACTTCATTAGCATAAACAATTGCATTGCAAATAACTTTGCATCCTCTCCACAGCTCCACACATGAAAAACTCCCAAACAGTTCTTCTTCTAAGACACATCTCAAGTTTTTTATAATCCATCATAAAATGGCAGCTACATTTAAGGTTCAGTTTTATAAAAATAACTGTGTTATATATCTGCTGAAACTGTCACTATATCCTGACAGTAGCACATGAGGCAGATAATGTGTGAAAAAATAAGGTGCCTCCAGCTTCTCCTAGTGCTCCTAATGGCTTTTGCAAGAATCCACCACACCTGAATGAAAACAACCAATCAGAGCCAGGAGGAGCTTCTATCACAGTGTCATGCAGACGCTGCGCAGACCTCCTCCCATGTGCAAGCTCAATATCATCAGCAAGTAGCTTCAGGAGGAGTTTTGCAAAAACAACAACCATCAATGAAAAAACTACCCATCTATCCTATGCCAACAACAGCGTACATGGCAAAGACTGTCAATGAAAAAGCTTGTGCAGGTCTTCTTCTGTTTACTTGTCTTTGCCATGTACGCTGTTGTGGCAGCGCAGCTTCTGCATGAGCAGTGATGGTGCATTTCATTTGTACTGGGAAGTCGGAAGTTCCATGTTCCCAGTTGAAAATTTTAGCTGGATTGCTCCCTGAAATCTGATTTCCAACTGGGAAACCAACCACAACCTCGAACTCCAATATGACTGCTCTGTGAATCATCAATGGTGAAGGTAGCAGTGAACAGTCGTGAAAGCTGGAGTTATATACTGTTTATTAGCACTTGTGTCTTATTAGTATCTAATGAAAACAGTAATATACACAATCCTGTCCAACATCTATCTGTGGATGTGTTGCTATGGTATTTATATGCACATAATACTGTCTAATGCTCAACTGGTATTGCTAACAATTGTTAAACTGGCTTGAAGTGGTGTAGCTAACAGCCTTGTGGTATTGGAATGCGATCAGCTCAGGTGTGATGTCATTTCCAGCTCCAACCTCTTATGAGGTGAAAAAGCGGCATCATGACTGACACTGCGTGAGGGACTCCAATTACCCTGGTAACTTATGCTGAACATCTAATCTGCTCTAATACTTTATTAGAAAAATAATCCACATGCTGTTAATTGGCTTCAGTTATTATAAATGCACCATTTCAGTCAGATAGTCCTCATCAGTCATTAACTATAGGAGTGTTTTATGTGACATATTCAGAGAAGTTTCATCATCATCCAACTTAATAGCAAAAAAATACTCTATGCTAATGTCACATACAGCCTAGTGATACCTCATGTAATTTAAGTCTTTGAGATTTGAGATTACAGATTGTCGTTTACATCCCATGCTACTGACACTTTACTGTCTCGCAGTCCCAGACACTTACCGTTTCATCTCATGATATGAAGCAGCCTACTTCATGGTTCTGATGATGTTGCTTGCAATTAACACCCCTGCCTCTGTCACGTGAACACGCTAGTTGCTGGATAGGAAAACCCAGAGTTGATTGAACTAGCTGATAACCAGTTTTGTAGTGCTGGTTATCCAAATGGCTAATGTTAGGGTTTGTCAAACCTGATAACAAAAAGATATCCAGGGTAAGTTGAACTGGCTTCGTAGTACAGGCCTCTGGCTCTGACAAGTTGTTTTGGTTTGGGATTCTTGGCAATGTTGTTAGAAGCACTGGGAGGAGCAAGAGGTGATTATCTGTCCTATGTGCTACTGTCAGGATATAGGATATATAGGATATATAGGATATAGTGACAATTTCAGCAAATATGATAGAAAGTTATTTTTATAAACGTTGCATATTAAAGCTTTAGTGAACAATAGTGACAAAAAAAATCACAATATCAGATCGACACAACAGTTGTAGATGTTATTGTATGGTTGACCTACAGTAATGAACATTTAGGTCAGCATACTTATTTGATTTCTGTGAAAAACATGAACTGCTCCCAGGAGATGCGTCTCTTGATACTGATTGTTTTGGGCAAAGCAACACAAAATAATCCCGTCTCCGAAACAGAAAACACAATGTCAATGTGAATAATAAAGCAAATCATCAGTATCGCATACACATTTTTTAGGAGAGCCGGTTTTAAAGCAAGATTATAGTCCTTGTAGTTCATCATAATTTTTTTGTTTAGCTTAAAAAGATGGTTGATACAGTTGCCAGTGAGCAAACTGCTGCAGGTTTCCTCCAGTTAGACATACAGCAGGAGGAATTAGGTAAATCATTGTGAAAAATTGCACTTATAACTGAAATGAGCAGATGCTTTATTAAGTTTTGTCTGCAGTAAGAAATTATTTTATTAGTTTCATCTGCTGAGTATCCATCGTTCATGGTTCCTCTTTGCTCCTGCACACACAGTGCACCTGGAAGAGACAGCTCTGCTCTCAGATTATAAATAGGACGGCAGCAGTGGAGCCGAAATAATCTCTAAAAACCAGGAAACCCCTGACAGATAATTCACCTCAACCTAAACATCGCATGTGGTCTTTTTTTTCCTCCTCATTATTCTGTCTTATCTCCCACACCAACCTCACCTTAAACCTGATCAATCAGACGCTCTCCCTGGCGTTATTTATGCATATTATCACATCCACCGGTGTTATCAGTAACAATAGCGATCTCTCAAATAAACCGAGCCAGACTTCCTCACTCGTGTGCTGCCTAAATTTACAGTCCTGCTGTATATCTCCAGTCTGGAGCGATCCATCAGGCTGAACACTTCTCCCTGCTCTCTCCCTCTCTCCGCCTGTCTCCATCTTCTAAATCATCTCGGTGAATTATCACCACCCTCCTGGCATGGGCAGGAATTGCATACAAGCTTAGGAATGACATAACTCATCTTTTGACCCCCCCCCCCTCCTTTCACTGTCTCGAGGAGGTGAAACTTCCCCCCTCTGCTGCCCTTCACCTCCTATCTTTGTGTGTGCACTCACAGATAAGCTATTGTTCTGCAGAGAGAGCAGTTAACAGACACCAATACAAGAACACAAGTGCTGTGTTCTACTTACTCCTGCATGTGTTGGGTTTGTTGGAAAGCACAGGTAATGGTTACGTCATTACTGTGTTCCAAACACGCCTCACCTGCACAGTAATCTCGCCCGCAGGTGTGTGTGTCAGCAGGAAGGTTCTGTTCGTACAGACTGAATAATTAGCGGTCATGTTGAGGCAGAAATTCTTCAGAAGGACTCAGTGGCTGCTCCCTTGTAACAGGATCAGCAAATATCAGGGCGTGTGTCACAAACATTTTGTGTAATTCCACCTGCAGTTTGAGTCATTACATGTTAATGCCAAGATGAGTTTGTGCTGGCAGGCCGGCGTACTTGTGCTAACCTGCACAGATCATCCTGTCCTGTCCTTAGATATTTAGAAACTAGCTGGCTGTCTTTAAAGCTGCTGTATTTGATATTTTATATTAAAAGGGAACTTTAGCCAGCATACAGATCTTGGGGAGCTGCATGGAGTCTGATAATTGCCCAAATTATATTAGTCAGCAGTGGTTTGGGTTATAGACTACAAGTTTAGAAATAAAAAACATCTGTGGGCATGTCTGTCTAATTTGTACTTCTGTGGCTGTGCGCCTACACGTTCTGTGCAGGCTGGTGCGGGCACCTCTCATGTGCACTATATAGTACTGTGGTGGATTGCGTGTAGCATGTAATTTGACACGTGTGTTGGGGTCAGAACTCTTTTTGATTTGGACCTGTGGTTTTCAAATTCCTTCCCAGGAGGTCTTTGATTTATTTGTTATTTTGAGAAGCCAGGACAGTAATGTATAAAAGGCCAGTATCTTCTCCCTCCTGCACTCTCGCTGCTTTTTGCTAACTTTTAAAAAGTTTTTGTGACTTATGTTTTTTTTTTTATATATATATATAATCTGTAGAAGCGGGATCATACAAGTGATAATATTCTAGTTTATTCCGCTAGCCTTTCTTCGAACTGGTCCATGGTTCTTATTGTTGTAAAGGATGTGAAGTAATTGAACTTTCGCTAAGCCCCGCCCCTTTGTAATGGTCCACAAGCTGTTGGAGTAAGCATGGAGCCCACACTGTAACTAACTGCACTCCCTGAAGAAATATTTTGGAAAAACTAAACCGTGATTCCAGAGAGAAGCAGACAGAGGGGTCTACAGTCTGTATTTGAAGGATATATCCAGGATGTCAAACTGACTCAGCAGCAATAACAGGTAAAAGAGACAAAGATAGTTAGAAGCTAAAGCCGAACTATAGTCTTTGCGAGCGTGCGTAATTCCGTCTCCGTCCACACAAGATGAATGTACACAACAGCCGCATGCTATTGGCTCTGTTGGTTCACACAGTTACGCTTGGCACCCAAGTAGAAAATTTTGAGCTGTTGTATGTTATTTTAATGAGCAAAGACGAGGAAGATAGTTGAGTTATTTTATGCGCTGTTGCTCTTTGCTGATGACGCTGTGGTATTTGGTTTAGGTTCTCTGTAGATGCTCGTGAAGCTCCAGTACCTGCCATACAAACATCAGTTTGCTACAGGTTTCCACGTTTTCTCAAGCAAATGAACAGGGATGCCCGACTCGAAATAGAAAGCAGCATAAGTTTGAGCTCTTAGTGGTCGAGTTGCATTGGGTTGCGTTGTTGGGTAATGTAGGCAAAAGATGATATTTTTGGTTTTGATGCAACAGTTTTGATAGCTTTCCTGTCAACTGTCCATCATAAGTCCAACAATGTTATAGGAGTGCAATGCTAAATCAGTGGGAGTATTGCTTTACAAAGAATCAAGTGACGCCATGTCTTATGAAAGACGAACCCACAGATAATTAGCATCCGACCATGCAGTTCCCCTTGAAGCTCTACGGAGGCTTTAGTGTGTTTTAGCTCAATTTTGGTTTAGTGGTCCACAACAAATAAGCTGTAATGTGTAAGAGAGCTTTAGAAGTGCTGGTAGTCAGATTTTCTTACCTCTGTGGAGAGCGTGACCAGAGTGATTTTCATGCTAAGCTAACTAGCCATGGATTTACTGTACAGACATGAGAGTGGAGTCAGTCTTCTCTTCAAGAAAGCAATTGAGCACATTTTCCCAAGAGTCAAACTATTGCTTTAACCCAATAATACACATGTCAGTTATTATGTCCTGTGTTTTATTTCTTGTTATATTTGTGTATTAGGCAGGTAAGGTGGACCCTCACCACCCCCGAGTATCGGGCCACAGAGGCAACGTGTTAGACGTCAAATGGAATCCCTTCAACGACTACTGCATCGCCTCCTGCTCTGAGGACGCCACGGTCTGTACACATACAGAAAGTACATTTTCAAAATGGTTCACTGACGTGTTATCATTTCCCCTGGAATATGTGCATGTAGCGGCAGGGATATTGTTTTATTGCCTCGCTGTTTAGCCTTCAAGATGAACTAAAAGTCATTCCACACATTCCTCAGCTCTGACCTGGCACAGAACGAACCTCTGTACACAGCGAGAGAAAGGACGAGTCAACAGGGTTTAAGACTGTTTTCACTGTTGAGAGTGTCATTTATTTTTTGTATTCAGTCGATTAGATTATTTATTTAGTGCCTATTTTTCATAGATTTAGAGGTGTTGAGTGAAGATTGTTTTTTTGTGTGTGTGATTGCAGAGGTGGAGGAAGTATTCAGATCCCTACTTAAGTAAAAGTACTAATACCACACTGTAAAAAATACTGGTACTCTGTTACAAGTTAAAGTCCTGCATTGACAATTTTACTTAAAGGTCCAGTGTGTTGGATTTAGGCGGATACATTGTCAGAGGTGGGATATAATATTCACCGTGTTTTTGTGAGCTGTTAATTTCTACATAAGGAGGTGGTTCTCTTACATGGAGTCCACCGCATAATTCTACAGTAGCCCAGAACAGACAAACCAAACACTGGCTCTAGAAAGGGCCATTCATGTTTTTTTCATTTTGACTCTTCTGCAACTTCACAGTTAGATGCCACTAAATTCTGCACATTGGACCTTTATGGAAAAGTACAACCCCAGTTTTAAAAAAGTTGTGAGGCTGTGTAAAACGATGATAAAAACAGAATGCAATGATTTGAGAATGTTTTTCACCTATATGTAATTGAATACAGTCCAAAGACAAGATATTTAGTGTTCAAACTGATAAACTTTATAGTTTTTTGTTACTGATGATGAATTTGATGCCTGAAACATGTTTCGTAATAGTTGTGACAGGGGCAACAGAAGACTGGGGAAGTTGTGGGATGCTACAGCAGCGAGGCTCCGCAGTAAAAGAGTGCAGTTACTAAACTGGCCTGCCTGCAGTCTAGACCTGACTGCCATTGAAGGTGCATTATGAAGCGCAAAATATGACAACAGAGACTCCGAAGTGTTGGGCCACTTTAGTTGAATATCAAGCAAGAAGGACAAAGAATTTCACTTTCAAAATGTCAACAATCAGTGTCCTCAGTTCCCAAATGCTCACTAAAAGTTGTTAAAAGAAAAGGTGATGTAACACAGTGGTAAACATGCTCCTGTCCCTTTTTTTGCAGTGTGTTGCATGCATCCAATTTAGAGAGAGTGTGTATTTACAAAAAAGTTTACCAGTTTGAACATTAAATATCTTGTCTTTGGGCTGTTTGCAATTGAACAAATGTCAAAAAGGATTTGCAAATTATTTCATTCTGTTGTTATTTTAAGTTTTACACTGAGCCTCAACTTTTTGGAATCAGTGTTGTAGGCAAGCATAACCAGGAAAACATAAAGTATTTAGAATAAAAGTGCTTTGCACAAAAACTGTATTACTGTTAAAGCAGGATTTTACTGTTTTACTGTCGTGATGATCTTTATCTGTTTTGTACAGGATTGTAACTAGTGATTATTTTCATTATGGATTAATGTGTTGATTATTTACTCCATTAACAGATTGTTTGTTTGGTTTGAAAAAGATCTGAAAATAGAGGAAATACCATCATAATTATCCAAAGTGACACCTTCACAGTGCTTTGTTTTGTCCAACCAACAGTGCAAACCTCAACATTATTAGAATTACATTAGAATTATCAAAACAATGCAAAGGAAAAGTGGCAAATCTTCACATTTAAGAAGCTGGAAGCGTGAAATGTTTTTTTTATATGAAAACAAAATTTTCTGTCTGTTGACTAATCAACTAATAATCGTTTCAGCTGTGCCTGTATATAGTGTTTGGTAGTTTAATTTATGATAACACATCAGACTTTAGAAGCTCTTAAAAGGTTCTGTTTGCAAAAATCTGAATTTGTAAATCATAGTGCAGTAAAAAAAAAAATACAGTATTTCCTGTGGAAGATTTCTACTTCCTTAAAAATAGCCTGGCTTTCCAGGAGTCAAAGTCAAGGATCATAAGGACCTTTGTGATCTTAAAAGACAATCATGGATATAACGATCTGTGATACTACAATGTAACCTTGCTTCTTCTCGTTTTGTTTCACACAATGTTAAGCATTTTACCTTCACCTATAGTGTCCCTGCCTGTTGCCATTGGTTTTGTCCGCCTTTTTCTTTTCATAAAAAAATAATAAAAATTAAGTATATTAAAAAAAAATACAATATTTCCCTCCAAGATGTAACAAAGTAAAATTAGAACAGCATGTAAAGAAAAGACTCATGTCAAGTACCTCAGTTTTGTACTTAGTTACATGCCACCACTGTCTGTTTGTTAATGTGTTTTCCTGTGCATGTGTATCTACAGGTGAAAGTGTGGGAAATCCCTCCTCATGGCGTGCTGAAGACCCTCACAGTACCGTGGAAGGAGCTTCAGGGTCACAGCCGCAGAGTGGGCCTCATCGAGTGGCACCCGACTGCTAACAACATCCTCTTCAGTACGGCCTATGACTACAAGGTAACACAACCAAACACACACACTAACACAGACACAGCTAAAATGAATAAGGAGGACACACTGTTTATTTTACTGAAAGCAATTATGTATGACAGTGCAGTCAAACAGGTCGCAGTTGTTTGTAGCAGCTTGTTCCTGGTTAACAAATCATGATATAAATTGCTCCCGGCGACAGGCCTGAAACAAGTTCATGATCAAGTATGACAAGGACTCCATATATAAGCACAAGAACTCAGATAATTTTCACTCTGAGCTACTGGTTTGTTGCAAGCGGAGATGTAATAAATTCTAAATGACAAATAGTCCATGTCAAACTGTATCTGCCCTGAATATAATATAGAAACCAAGTGAAGTTAGATCACACAAATAAGGAAATTATTTCAGACTTTTTAGTGGAATGTCACAGTATTTATATAACTAGATGAAACCTGCTGTTAGTCTGAACTGTTAACTTTGATAAGTGAATGTCCTACAGAACGATCCAAGCCTCTGTGTGCCTTTCACACCCACAGGTGATGATCTGGAACCTGGACTGTCCTGAGCAGGTGATAAAGAACCCCGTGCGGACAATCAGCCACCATACAGATGTCGTCCTCTCCATGTCTTTCAACACAGACGGCAGCCTCTTCGCCACCACCTGCAAGGACAGGATAGTCCGACTCATGGAGCCACGCTCAGGAAACCTCCTGCAGGTGATGCTTCGTGTGTCCGTGTGTGTGTTATGTGTTGTTTGTGTTTTTAGACAGTTCTGCGGTTAAATTTGGGCACGCTCTTATTTTTAAAGACAGTTACCACAATAGGCACCAGCTCATCTAGTGTATCATGTCACTGCAAAGAAAACGTGTAGTTAGGGCCGTTATTTTTGGTTTTGTTCTTTTAATAAAGGTCCAGTTTGTAGGATTTGGTAGAATTTAGCAGTGTGGTTGCAGAACTGAAATTTCTGCCTTGTGCCAAGCGTGTAGGAGAACTACAGTGGCTGATGCAAAAATGCGAATGGCCCTATCTAGAGCCAGTGTTTGGTTTGTCCGTTCTGGGCTACTGTAGAAACAACATGGCAAACTGTGTGGGAGAGGACCCGCTCTATATGTAGATATAAACGGCTCATTCTGAGGTAACAAAAACACGTTTTCTTAGTTTCAGGTCAACGAATGAAAACATAATTATAAATATTATGTACCATTTCTACCAATAGATGCCCCTAAATCCGACAGCAGCGGACCTTAAAAACAAAGAGGATTTACAAGAGTTTATTTTAGATATTAAAAAACTAATAACAAAATCTAATTTAAAAAAAAAAAAATAATACAAAAATCTGGGTAAAAGTTTTTTTAAATGCGATTTGTAGTAAAAACACTCTGTAGCTGATCTGTTTATTATTTTTCAAATTAATTTTAAGGACTCATTTTTTGAGATGCACTCTTCACAAAATAACCTGATTTAATTCAAACTGCGGTGAAGAATGTATTACTGGGGCTGAAAACACAACTTTTGGATATGGCTGGACAAAAAAATCTGGGTTAAAATTAGTTAAATTGATATTGTCCTTGGTAAAGAAATATCACCAACGAAGGTGGCCATGGTTAACATGGCTGTGAAATATTTTTAATGAAGAAATTGACTCACATACTGAGACTACAAGAAGCACAACTATTAAGAAAATGGGAAAAATGGACACTTTACTAGACTCAAAAAGACGACACTGGACTGGAATGATAATCAGTAGATACACTAATCCTTAAGGCTGTAAAAATGTGTACTTGCCCACAGGTTTTGTTTCATTAGCTCTTATTTTCTCTCAATTATTCTATTATGCTGTTGTAGCTGACATGTCAATGTCACAAAAAATGTTTTTAACTCTTTAAGATTGAAGTGAAAAAAACTATGTTTCTTTTGAAAATCTAGATATTTTCAATCAATAAAACCTAAAAACCACGAGTCTTTGTTGCCGCGTACGATAGTCAATAGTACTATAGCCAATAGTTGCATAAGTGGGAGTTCCCTGCTCCTTTTCCCCTTCCCAGCCCGGGCACCCATCCAGCACCACACAGCCAAAACTGACACCTCTGGCCTGAACATAACTCCGCAGACCTCGGGGTCACCAACCAGTGACTCACACACTTTATATCAGTCTGCTCTCACTTTCCCTCGCCTGCCAAACAAGCTCACGTGGAAACATAAGGAACATTACATCACAGTGCCGTAGCGTTGAGCTGAAAGTCTTCTAACATTTTCATTTATCTGCTGGTATAATGGAGGATAGGAACAACATATGCAATATTGTTAATGTCTGTTCCAAAATAATTGGACCCCAGCAGAGAGACTTGCATTCCCTCTGGGAGAAACGTGTGGCCCAGAAGGCAAAAGTAATAGTGAGGCAACCTGACCACATCCTGTCCACTGAATTCATTGTAATGCCCCCCCCCCCCCCGCGCCACCCCGGAAAACGAACAGATAATCAAAGTCCTTCATTCCTTCGGCTATCAGGCTGCTGAATGCCGACAGAAGTTTGTTTTAAATGAATATGTGTGTGTGGTTTATGATAACTTGGTTTGTTCAGGTGTCTTTTCTGTGACTTTCTTGTGATTGTACTTAATTTATGAATCAGCACTGAACTTGAACTGCACTTGGTCCTTGTGTGCACCTCTTGCCCATATACTGGCCGATTGTCTCTGACATACTGTTGTTTGCTGCTGTTGTAAGATGGTTGTTTGTGTTTGTGACTGTGCTCCGGGTAGACTAGAGAAACTAAATAGCCTTTTTTAGGACAAATAAAGTCGTCTGAATCTGAATCTGATTATTAGTCCACAGCTTTAACATTAAACACATAATATATGTTGTGTGTTCGCAGGAAGCCAACTGTAAGACGCACAAAGCCAGTAAGGTGATGTTCCTGGGTAACATGAAGATGCTCTTCACATCAGGCACTTCACGCTGGAACCATCGACAGATGGCTCTGTGGGATCAGGTGAGAGAAACTGACAGCATGGGAAGTACTCTGTGACAAAATCATCTCATCTCAAAGGACCACCTTATGTCTTTTTTCTTTACCAGGCTTACGCTTGCATCTCATGATCGTCAACTCTGAATGGAGCTGGATCAGGTGTCCATATGTGGAGTTTCTGTCATGTGATGACAAACACAGTCACTTGTTATCAGGTGACTGAAGCTCCACACTGTGGTCATGCAGTGACACCTGAACCAGCTCCATTCACTGATGAAGACCATGAGATCAGCTATTTGTGGTCACTACAGGCTTTTTCTTTTTAATAATCATCTCAATTAATTCAATATTAAATTTGTTACATTCTTGGACCGCCAGTCACTCATTGCGTGTTACATTGAATCGATGAAGAAATCTTTTTCTCACATGCCTTAATGGTGAGGGGAGAATCCAAAAAAAGGTGAACATTCTTTTAAAATTGAAGTAAATAGTGCAGGTGTTAAACAACAGCAAATATATATATATCAAAACATCTGTTTACAAACACTTTCAGACCTCGTGCAGTGTAATCCAAGTCTCATTTATCCAGCTGTATGCTCAGTGCTTTCCAAACACATGCATTTCATTAAGAAGTAACAATATAAAACACTTCCGCCTACGACTCACAAGCTCTGCTTGAGCAGAGTTCAAATGCATATTTGTGCCCAAGCACACTCCTCGGCCTTGACTGTTTTAAATCATGTTTTAGTGAAAATGCATGTGTTTGGGAAGTACTGAGCAAACGACTGGATAAATGAGACTTGGATTGTTCTGCATAAGGTCTGAAAGTGTTTGTAAACCAATGTTTTGATATAGCTTTGCTGTTATTAAACGCAGTCCCCATTTACTTCAATCATGTGGACTGTTCGCCTTTTTGGGATACTCCGTTCACCAAGGGGGCATGCAAGAAAAAGTTTTCTTTACAAAATCAATGGTAACACGCTGTGATTGACTGATATACAAATGGTCATTTTGTGGGTGAAGTTGTGAGCCAAGATACAAGAACATTCCTAAAAGCAGAGAATTAATAATTTGAAAAAAATGAAATGATGGGCAGCATATTACATCACAAGTCTAGTTAGCTATATTTCCAGGAATACATCATGATAAATATTGGAGGCCAGGACAATGATAAAATAAAAAAGAACAGTTGAATATTGAAATAATTATAAAAAAGATAAATAAACCCTTTGAAACGTGGAGCGACATCACTTTTCTTGTGCTGCTTTCAGACGCCTTTAAACCTCTGAACCCTGAGCAAATTGATGTGATTTCTTTTAAAAACATGGGAATAAAGGCGGTGAGCAACTTGGTGAGATGCATCCCACAAATTGCAAAACAAGAACATAGATTTAGAAAGTTATTTAAAAACAAAATCTAGACTCAAGATTCAAGTTTCAAGAAGTTTATTTTCATATGCACAGTAGAAAACTCAGCGGTTTGCACCGTACAATGAAGTTCTTAATTGCCAGTCTCCCTTCACATAAGACAATAATTTGAAAATTAGAATTAAAGTTAGATTTCAGAAAATAGATAAAAAAATAGCAGAAACAAAGATGTACGTTTAGAAAGGGAAAAAAAGCAAGAGAACAACTATAATCGTAATTATTATTATTCCTAGTACATTTTAGAATTAGGTTACAGAATTATTTTAATTTTTAATCACTCTTTTCAGGTCATTTCTCTGTTTGTTTTGAACTTTATTTTCTTTGTCTGTCTCTCTTTTTTATTTTATTTTATTTATTTTTTACAAATTTTCTTGTTTTAATTTGATCTTTTTACTAATTTCATGCTCATATTTTTTTGGTCATTTCTTCTGTCGTTGCTCATTGCCTTCTTCCCATGTTTCTAAAAGAAATCAAGCCAATTTGCTCAGGTTTCAAAGGGTGAAGGTGAGATATGTTTAATATTTTGGACATTAAACTTTGGGAAATAATGTACAATAACTCATTGTTTCATCTGTTCTGCTCTAAATATCCTAACATCTCAATCAAACACTTGGACTGTAGAAAAACCAGATAAAAACATGCAGCACACTTTCGCTCTTCCACCCGTCTGTGTGATCTCATGTCTGAGATGCTGCTCAACATTAAGAGGAAACTCTCTCTGTCACACAGCTCTGCCATCTAGTGGACAAACTGGTGAACTTTGGTGTGTTTTGATGTGTGTGTGTATGTGTGTGTGTGTGTGTGTATCATGGGTAGAAGATTATAGCCAAGGCACGGATTAGGGAGCACTCAGTGTTTTTAATTCAGCACTGGAGAGTGCTTCTTATATAGAAGTGGATTTAAATGACTGAGTGTTTTGATGATAGGGAATGGTGTCCATGTTACTGGTGCTTAAGTGTGTTTTTTTTTTTTATCTGTGTGTGTGTCTTTGTAGGACGATCTGTCTGTGCCTTTGTTAGAGGAGAACCTGGACGGTTCATCTGGAGTACTTTTTCCTTTCTATGACCCTGACACACACATGCTCTACCTTGCTGGGAAGGTGGGTGTCTGAAAGTAAGCAGGAAGTGTCCATACATTCATATATTGTAATATTATTGTTATAAAGACTTCTCTTGTCTCTGTCAGGGTGACGGAAATATCAGGTACTATGAGATCAGCTCAGAGAAACCGTATATACACTACCTAACAGAGTACCGCTCGCACCTACCTCAGAAAGGAATGGGTAAGAAACACACACACACAAATACACTGCTACTGTGTACTTTATTTTTAATCAAACCTCAGTATGTGTGAGGTCTCATTTGACTATTTTCTCACTGGTATGTGTGTAAAATGTGTCTGTTGGGAGTCTCTGACTGCGTCCTGACTGTACTGACTCGACAACACCTGTAAGCAAAGCTGCTGTGCAAATAACCCTGCAATATTTGAATAGGCAAACCAGCTGATCACAGCGAGGTCGTAGGTCATTTAAAGTGACAAGCAGACAGACAGACATGCACTTATCTTTTAGGCTTTAAACTCAGGAATATTGATGGATGGAAGACGTTCAGACACAGTTCAGAAACCAGTATAACTGGTAGTTTTTTATGGAACTGAACAGCAGCAGCTCTTTGCTGTTAAGATACAGAGACATAACTGAGATAAAAGCCACTGTTTCACCACGAGAAATGTTTGCAGACTCAACATGTAATAAATGTATCAATAGATCAGATATATTCGGGCATTGAGGTCATTTCTAAAAGAACATTTTGTTGTAAAAACAAGTCCAGGTTCAAAACACAGCAGAGTACACAACTGAAACCTTAAAAATATGGTGTTCCCCAACTTCAAAGGAGTCCGAAAATATAATCAATCATTTAGAAATTAATTCCAGATTCATTGTGAAGGTCTAATGATCAATATATTTTAATTGAAGTGGGTGTTAAAAGGGTTAAAAAGCCGATAATTTCTTTACTGCTCAAGGTGAGTGTGGTCCTACTTTGCCACCTTTGATTTTTCCATCACAATATGAACATATATGTGCAGTTGTGAAAGGGCTTTTAACACTTCTGCATATTGCAAAATGAACAGCACTCAACTCTACATCAGTGATACTCAACCTGCAGCCCATAGGCCACATCTGGTCAGCTTGTTTATTGAAAAAAAAGTGCTGGAGGGGCAACAGAGGACCGGGCTCTATCTGTCGTCAAATCTTAGAGATGCCCCTGCGTACACCTGACCTGTGCAGGGCTGCTGTGACTGTATTTGCCTCATTGTAAAGTTGCTTGTTTCCACTTCAGTGCTCATAAAAATACAACTAAAGATAGTAATGTACATCATATCCTTGGCATGTGTGTCTTCCTGTAGGCGTGATGCCAAAGAGAGGTCTGGATGTGAGCTCCTGTGAGGTGTTCAGGTTCTACAAACTGGTGACAATCAAGAGTCTCATTGAGCCTCTTTCCATGATCGTACCCCGCAGGGTGAGAGAACATCGACTCACACAAACCACAAGCACCACAGCATATAAAATAAATGCACCCAATTTTACCGTAATGTATTATGGAGATCTAATTTAGTGTCTGTGTACATGTGTTTATATGTGTTGTGTATGTATTTCCAGTCAGAGTCATACCAAGAAGACATTTATCCAATGACGGCGGGTAACAAACCTGCTTTGTCTGCAGACGAGTGGCTCAGCGGCATCGATAAAGGTCAGAATTAATGTGTGCGTGAGACATTTGTATATGTTAGCGAGCTGCTGAGGGATTTAACAGTCTGGTGGTGGACTGCTCCAAACTAAATCATAATAAGGGTCCAAATATACCTAAAAAGAAAAGCAAATACAAGCAGGGCTGGGTGGTGAAATACAGGAGAAATTCTTTGGTATTGAGACGTCAGTACAGGCAAAATGAATCCAAAATATGTCATGTAAAAAATACAAACTGATGTTACATACATTCTTTTCATTTTGATTTTGTCAACAGATATTTTTATCATCACAATACAATAGTCAATTTATGATACAATCAAATGGTTGCCCAGCCCTATATTCTGAGTACGTACTTTAATTTACAACTTTTCTTCACTGTTTTAGTTCTATAGTAGCTCATCTATTGTTGGATTAAAGGTCTACTGGTAGTAACTTAAAGGGTAACATTGGTGTTTTTCAACCTGGACCCTATTTTCCCATGTCTTTGTATCTTACTGACAAATAGGCACAGTTTTTGAAATTGGTCAAGTATTGAGTGACAGGGCTGCAGCCAGAATCCGCGAACCACTTAGGGCAATTATGAATTGTCAATGTATGCCCACTAAAAGTGCTAATTTTTGTTGCTGACAGGCTCAGATTGTTATTCTCAGTGTCTGACAACATTATGAAAGGACCCTACAGAGATCAACCTTTATGTGAAAGAGTAAGATCTTATTTTGTTTAACCAGGAACAGCCCCAGAATCGTCACCAGACTCCATTGAAATAAACTGTAATTTTAGCGTGTATAGAGCCAGCATATTTTCACATCTAACTGTTTGAGTGAGGGGTTTGTTTCAACCAAACCAGAGCTGGTGATTGTTAAAACAGTGAAAAGACAAACCAAGGCTGTTCTGTGAGTTTTATTTTGTTTCTGTGGACTTAGAATGAAGTGTGTTTTATCATGATAAAATTATTGTTTATTTAAATGCAGTTAAGTGGCGATTTTGGGGCTGTTTTCAGTTAAATAAAAAGGATCTTACTCTATCTTTGTAGGGATCCTCTCCATAAGTTGTCAAACATTAAGAATAATGATATGAGCCTGTCAGTGGCAAAAACAATAACTTTTAGAGGACCTAAATTAACGGTGCATAATTCTTCCTCGTGGTTACATTGTAGACTGTTTCACAGCTGCTGGCCGCAGCCCTCTTACTCAGTACTGGACCAATTAAAAAAAATATTGTTGGCATTAGTCACTTATGTTGTGTTCACACAAAACTCGAATTTTGAATGGCAGAATATTTTGTGTTGACTCGCTTCATATACGCAAATAACTTGCGTCAAATACGCGTGAAATCGCTGAATTGACGAATGAAATTCCATCGGTACGTCCTCAGCGCCATATGTCCCTGGAGCATCTCAATGCTGATTGGCTTGCAGTGTGAATTGGTTCTTTTTTTTTTTTTTTTTTTTTTTCAACTCTTGTGAATAAGCGTGTGACACAAAATTGTGCAACTCACTTCATTCGTGCTGTTTCATTTGCGTATTCTGCATCATTCACATGGGTCCATCGCATCGCCCAGCAGGAACTCACGTCTTACTGCAGGGCGTCGGTGACTTAGTGGATAGAGCAGATGCCCCATGTACAAGGCTGTTGCCGCAGCAGTCCGGGTTCGACTCCAGCCTGTGGCCCTTTGCTGCATGTCATTATCTCTCTCTCTCCCCCCTTCACACACAATAACAATTCATCAGATTTAATCACTGAGAACATTTTCTCAGGATCATCCAGCTCATCTCCATCCTCTTGTCTCTCTCTTTGTCTTCCAGGTCCGGTGCTGATGTCTCTGAAGCCTGGAAGTCAAGTAGCAGAGTCGTACTCAGAGATGAGCAAGGTGACTGGAATCTCACAGGACACTTGCAGGTCTAACAACAGACCGGGCATGCTGCAGCTGACGTACATTCAGGACCAACTGGGAACCAAAGATGGCAAGGAGGACAGCAGCGATACAGGGGACGACAGGGGTCGGACACCTGTTAGCAATGGGGAAGACTTCACACTTTGCTCTCCACCCAAGACAGAGAATGAGGTATTTGATGATTTTATATCCTGCTGTTTGTACACAATTTTTTTTAAAACCATGTCAGTGTTATTTATGACGAAATAAATAATTTCATAAGTCCAACTAAAGAATTAGAAATGTGGCCTAAACTTTTATATTGTTAATGCACTAACCCTGAAAATTACTGACTGAGATAAAACTGTTTTCTAACCACAAAATTAAAATAGAATTAATTAATAAAGAATGTCAAGACTTAAATAAAAATCTAATCAAATAGTTGTCACTTTGATTGATGTTTAATTGGCCTCTTTTAATTAAAATAATACAATTACACTGTCAGCAGTAAATAAAAACTTGAATTTAATGATTTTTTTCCCAATAAACATGAAGAGGAGGCTGAGTACTTATTTTTAGTCCTGTCAGGCTGTGTAAAGAAGCTCCACCAATCAGGTCAGAGCAGTCTCTGTGTGACCTGAGGGGCAAAACCTGGGGTAAAAAAAAGCCCACTACGTACCAGCTGCTGCTCAGAAAGCTTAAGGATAAGGCCGGTGATGTTCTATATTTTTGTTATTGACAATAAATCCCATGAAAAGACCAAAACCAACATTAAACTAATCCTACTTAAGTATTGTCTCTGTATGCAGAGACTGATATTTTTTATTGCTCTGTATCCACTGTCGACTAAAATAATAGATGTGTGTGTCACGGTTCCTTCATTACAATAAACACAGGCCCTGCAGTTTATTTCGTGATGACTGTCTACTCCTGTTTGAGTGATGTTTGCTAAAAACTACAGCAGGCCTAGCGCTTCTCTGGAGCTTACCGAAATAGATAACAATAGAAAAATAACATTCATAAAGTGAGCTTGCACTTTTGAGCCATTACTGAAGAACGCAGAATGTAAACATGTAGCTATGTAATGTTAAACATAATCACCTGACACAGCTTTGTCATCATTAGGGGACATTAAGGAATTTTAAAATGCCAGCTATGTTAGAATGAATCACTGTTATGCAAATACCGACAGCCATACTTAGCAACCTTGAGACGTGAGACCTTAAAAATAGGGAGTATTTTGAAAACCAAAACTGTGTGGTTTGAGGGTCCTCCCCCAGAAAAATGTGAGTTTCAGAGACTTTGTTTCCTGTATATTGGTAACAAAACAATAAGTACACTGCAACAGCTTTTTATTTTAAATACTTTTAATTTTACTTTTAATTCTCATGAAAAAATACAGAATAATTCACCCTTGTGGTGTAAACTTGCTTAAATCTCTGGCATACCCCTTGCATCTCTACAGCTCCACCCTCGTGTCCAAATATTTGCATGTCTGGTTGGAGAAATTTAAGATGGCGACGGCCAAAATGCCAAACTGGAGGCTTCAAAACAGCAGTTCACAAACCAATTATGGCCATCTAGACATGCTTATCATAGTTAAACGTGGCGACAAGGCGCATAAAAAGGCGCAAGCAGCTTACTTCCGCATCACGTGTTTGCCAAGGAATGTCATTTGGTGCAGCTGTATGGTTAAGACGTAGGGCTTTTTGATGCTGTACAGTGTCAGTAACAGGTTCTGATAATGAGAAGCAAAAAAAGGTGTGGAAATGTGTCGTAAATTGGGAGAAATACAAGTGAATTGTGACCCTGGGAAGAAACTGTGCGAGGGTAATGACAAACGAGAGTCTCCTGGAAGAATCAAGAGGGTTTATGAGGATGCCAATAGCAGCACTGTTTGTCTCAGAGTTTACTTATTTCAGTACTGACCAGTCAGGAACTGATATTAAATTTGTACTGGTTCTTGATACCCATCCTTTATCAGCATTAACCGGATTATGGCAGTTGGATGGTGAGTAGTTTCTCACACAGACGCTGATGATGTCAGCACGCTGGCTGACTCTGTCATCTGTGGACATTCCCATAGGAAAGTTGTAATAGAACTAGCGCTGGCTCCCAGCGGCAGTGATGTGATTGGATCCAAATCCGTGTACTTCTGTACTTCCTCGACCAACGGCTGATTAGCTTTGCCTTAAACCCGCCTACACCGGAATTGCTGTTCCCTGAATTGTTGTCCGTAGTACAACAGAAAAGGAAGTGTTCAGTGCATCGCAAGAAGAGATTAAAATGGATATGATTTCATTTGATTCAGCTATATTGCAGAGCTGCAACGTCCACAAGATTGGAGAAATCAAGGATTTACAGCGTGCCGTACCTATGGCAACGCCGTCACTTGGTTTGGATATCCCCGCCCATTTCTATTACAAAACGAAAGGCGAATGTCCCCAGACTCCCATTCCAAAATAAGGGAGGCTGGTCACGTGAGACTAGATGGTGAGAGGAAACGGTTCAGAGAGATTTTAGTAATGTAAGGTAAGGTTTAATGTCCCCAAGGGGCAATTTGGGACACAGACAGTAGTCATGAGTACAACAATACAAACACATAGAATCCAGTATCTCACACTGTCAGGGGTAAGTCATGGACAATTAGTGGTCACTGCTGGTTAAGATAAGCATTAGCAGACGAGACGAAGGACAATCTGTGCCGCTTAGTGCTATGTATAGGGAGGCAAAACCTCCACCCTGTTGAGAGACAAAAGACTGAGCTTTAGAGGTGGCCCTCTCTTCATACAGATGCTGGTGGTTATTTAAAGTAACACCACTGATCTTACAGCACAAGTTGACCACCTTCTCCAACTTGTTCTTGACAATGTTAAAAGAAACGGACTCAATAAAGGCAGAATAGAACAATTTCATGATTGATCGAAACTCCTCAGCTTCCTTAACAAAGAGTAGGTGTTGGGTTGCCTTCTTAGTTAGTACATTCAACTGAAACTGAAGCAGTAAGAGTAGTGAAACAGTACATGTCTCCTCCGTATCTGGTGTAAATTAAACCCCTGATATATTCCAATATATTGTGCATGTGTTTCATCCGCAGCTGCGTCTGAAGTTCCACAAGCAGCAGGAGGAAATCCGACGGTTGAGGGACCTCCTGAGCCAGAGGGACGTCCGCATCAAACAGCTGGAGCTGGAGATTAAGAACATCAAAAACTCCCAGACTCACTCACTTTAAGACTTGCCCCAAGCCACGACCTCACCTTCACCCCCTCGTGGGAACACATGCATTACTGTACAAACTTAACCCCGCCTTCAAACCACCACACCTCTTCTTAGGGTCCTGACTCACCTCTTCTCCTCTAATGAGCCCACCATACTCACCGCACACACGGGGGTGATTTCAGCCTCGACTTTGTATTTTCTTTCTGTCTGTCAGTTCCACACAGGGTGCACATATTCTTTGTTGGTGTACATACACTCAGACACGGAGTCTCACCCAGCTGTAACATGATTTAAAACTCTTTGCACCTGTTGACCCTTACCCCTTTTATTTTTTTTATGCTTCACAGCTATGCAAGTTAATTGTAATTTTTAGCTTTTTTATGCTCTTTGTAGCTGAGAGATAAAAAGGATGTCTGTGCCTGTCTTGACTGAATGATGTGGCTGTCTGCGTGCTGTTTGAAAGTTGTTGCAGGGCTGGAGCAGACATCCTGTGTGATTGTACGATAACGCTGGATTTATTTTCTATGCTTGGTGATTGTTTTTTTTTTTTTGTTTTGTTTTTCAATATTTAAACTACTGTAAGTGGAGATGGCTGTGGTATTTTAATGTATGTGTGCTTGAATGAGAGCGATCTAAATGAATGACAGTATCATGATCTCAGCTGTGTTCATTCGTTCTGTTGAGCTGCATTTTTGTTTTTAGTTTTGAATGACTGGAAAATTGGTGACAAATCAATCCGTTTCTCAGCAGCTATTATGTAAGCCATTTCTGTAACTGATGCCATGTAGCAGTTCTTAATTTTTTTATTTATTTTAAAGTACAGTCAAAGAAAAAAAAAATTCAATTTAATCAATTTCGCGATTGTAATTTTGGAAAATACAGCACGCAAACTGTTTTAAAAAGGACGGAAAGCCTGCTTTAATTTTTCCTGATGTGGAGTCACTGTGAAGAAACAGTTTAAAGCCATTGCAGAGCCACAGTCCTGCACCACCTCTGGGTTAGTTTGTGTTCCACGAGTCCTGAATGTGTTTTCTTTAAGACGGTGGTTTTATTGTAAAAACCTGAAACATGACACTGGGGGTTTCTGCTTGTATTTTAAGGGGACAGTTCACCCCAAAATCAAAAATACATATTTCCCCTCTCACCTGTGGAGCTATTTATCAGTCTAGATTGTTGTGGTGTGAGTTGCAGAGTGTTTGAGTTATCGGCCGTAGAGATTTTTGCCTTGTCTCTAATGTAATGGAATTAGACGGCACTTGTGGTGCTTGTGGTGCTCAAAGCGCCCAAAAATACATTTGAAAAACTCAACAATAATGTCTCTTTCCAGAACTCATGACGCGGTTACTCAAGATACTCCACAGCCTTTTTGTGAGCAGTTTCATGTAGGAACTACTTTCTCTCTACCAAACTACACCCGCCAACCGGGGACAGTTGGTGAGAGTCTGCCTGCATGCACAGTGACAGGACTAACTGTTAGTATCACATGGCTAACGTTACCAAATGGTTAAATGGTTGAATGTTAGCTGCTGCTGTGTTAAGGCCCAGCCACACCAAGCCGACTTCAGAGAACTAGCCGCAATGAAAGCTGATTGCTGCGTCACCTTGTGTCGCCTGTGTCTTGGCCAAAAAGTTGCACATGAACACACCCCAAAGACTACAGCTGACGGCCAACCAGCACACATGTGCTGCGCCTACATGAGAGGAAATAACTCTCCACACCAGCACAGGGCGGTAGTCTGTATTTGTCATTCAAAAAGGGACAGTGACGGTGAAGACTGTCTTGATGCTAGTTAGCCAGTTAGCACATTAACAACACAATCCAGTGTTGAAAGAACAGAGCATATTTACTGTGCACCAGTGGACAACAACACAAACTATCAGGAAATGTTTCCGCTAAAGAGCTCCATGGATAAAGAAAAATAATCTTACCTAATGAAACAAGTTTTTTTTTAGTCTCACTCCCTCTTGACTTTAGTTGTTTGTTTACTTTCCTCACTTCCATTTCTCTTCTCATACACTGAGCTGAGCTTTTGATCCAAGTGATTCATGGATGGGCTCCGCCGTCGCTGATTCAACTTGATGAGTTGGTGGGAAAAAACCCGACCGCGACAATGAGGGCCAGCAGTGCAGGACACACCACATCTATTAGGGCAATAGACACTCACCGATGGCCTAACATTGACCAACGGCCAACTGTCAACTTGGTGTGTCAGGGCCTTTAGATTGTACTAACCGGGCAGACGTTGAACTGACCATTTGCTGGGATGAGTGCGGGATCGGTGATGGCAACAACAGACAGTCTGCAGAGTCAGGACAGTCCAGGATCACTTGGTACTAACTATCACTAGGTACTACTTGGTACTGGGTTATTTCGATCAATATCTTAATTGGAATCAAGTACCAATACCGAGCCCTACTCAGAGTTAATTTACAGTTTAAAATGCAGCCTACACTCAAGGCCTATTACTCGCTTGTTCTAGAGCTTTAAACAGTTTTCATAAGTAGATGAATTTTGGAAGTAAGTGGACCTTGAGTAGAGATTGATTTTAATAACTGCTGTTACCAAAGTCAAGAAGACATAAGATCAATTTTAAATCAACAGGGCTGATAAATACTAATTGGACAAGGAGATGGATAGAGAGATTCCCAGTATGATGTTTCAGCTTTGTTAGAAACCTCTTCACTTCATTTCAAGTGTAATGACAAAGCCTGGACGAGGCTCGTGGAACAGAACTGAGCTCAACAGGGAGACTTCATCCCTTAATATGAACATTTTACTTAAATGTGACAGAGAACTCATTAATTTTTTTAATGCTTAGCTTTGATGATCTGTTAATGCAACCGCAAAGACTTACATAACTGTAAAATGTACACAAATTCACACCGAGCAGTCAGTAATCCTAATGGCATATAGAAATGTGTTTTCTCTCAAGGAAGTCCTCAATGATGTTCAGTTTTTCCCATGGTGCTGTCAGACCAGTTTCTCATATATGTCGCGTTAAGAATTCAAACATTCCCTTGTCTCTCATCTGTATGTTGAGAGCGTCAGTTCTGATTGGCATGTAAATATGCATCCATGTTACTGAAGCGCTTGCAGATATTAGGCAACACAAACAACATAGCTGTACACCCTAACATAACCACTTAGATACAGCACAAACTATCATGCATGCCTGTGTTTATGTAGTCAGAGGCACAAGCACCATAATGATATTCCAGATTTGGCTTACATTTCATTACCACTCGTCAAAGATGTAACAAATGGAAACTGCCACACCAACCCACACACATACAGACACACTGGCCTCAATACAATTGTGAACCTTTTGACCTCTGGCAGAGACAGTTCCAGCACAGCTTCATCTCTGGCTGACTTTTGTCCAGGAGCAGCTACGCCCCAGCCAGTTTAAACTCTAAACCACCACTGCTGCTGGTGGACGAGTCTCAACACATTCCCACAGTGCGCTGCTGTTTTTACAGTCGGTCAGTGGAGTTGTTCAAGGACTGATTTGGCTGTTTGATCACATCACAACAGTTGAACGTGACTGATTGTACTTCCAGAGCCATTCCAACCAGCGTTTATACAAATAGATTTTTCCCCATCCGAAAAAATATTTTATTTGTTTTTTTTTTTTTTTTTATAAATGTCCTGCATCTCAAAAGTCTGCCTGGAAATTCAAATGACAAATGATTGTTTAAAATGTCAACACTGTGCATCTAAAGAACAATCATTGGTTAACTTGGGAATTCAATGCTTGATGCAGTTTATACCACAAATAAATACTGCACATCTCTAGCTAAATAACAAAGCAGCTGCCATTTTTGAGCCCGTTTATTCAGCACTGTTTTATAGTGACTGAACTGTCAACAGCAGATTGTGTTATATCACATACTATCGAAATGTTTAATAACATATAAATAAAAACATTTTAAAATAACCATATGAATAATTGGTGTGATAAAAAATCCTTAAAGAAATTATTAAAATTAACTAATTATTGTGAAATGTTATTTCATGATTGTTTTTCATAACCGTTGTATTGGATATAGTTTTGATTTAATTATAGACATGTTATTTTCAAAAGTCTTTTTTTATTTTAGTGTGACAGTTTTTTCTAATAACGGATTTCATGTTGAGTTATTTTATAATGTCATATTTCAATTATATCCAGTCAGTGTGAGGGATTTAAAGGGATATATTGGCAGAAATTGAATAGAATATTGATTACTATGTTTTCATTAGTTAATAATTACAATCTATGTGATTTTATTACCTTAAAATGAACCTTTTATATCTACATATGGAGCAGGTCCTCTTCCCGCCTCTTTCAACAGTAGCCCAAAATGGACAAACTTAACACTGTCTCTAGATAGGCCCATTCACGGTTTTGCCTCGGCCACCATAGTTCTCCTACACGCTTGGCACACTGGAGAAGTTTCAGCTGGCTGCAGTCTGCAACCTCACCACTAGATTTCACTAAACTCCACACACTAGACCTTTAAGCTTTCAAGCTCAACAGCTGCTACCAAACAAAGCCAGCCAGCTCCTGTTAGCTAGAGCAACAACAATACTAATATAATTCTGAATCACCCAACTAGAGGCTTCTGCTGTAATTTAACAGGCACAGTCAGCAAACTTCTGTAGCTTCTACGTTTGGCTTAACTAGTTGCTACACATGCTATCGACTTAGCCAGTTAGCCATCCAGGTAGGTAGCATGTGCAACCTTGTCAAACTAAATAAATAAAAGGGAAATGTTGGGTTGTGAAGCTTACTTACTCAAAATAGTTTCTGATTAATGATCGACTAATTAATCATTTAAACTCCAATGTTTCTATTCCAGCCTATTGTAGCTTAAACCTCTGAGAATAATATACCTCAGGAATATTCCTGTTAAAAGCCCCATACACCCACACACAGGTGTTTCCACTTACTGGCTGACAATCAAACTGTCTTTACAGTCCCAATGAGAAGGCTTTTAAACATCTGTGTGGGTGGACCATGGGTGTGCAGAACCTTTAAGCACTCAGGTATTGTTAATTCATATACCGCCGATTCATATTTCGGAATAACGTGAGCTATTCAGTCTTGTTAAAGGGGCATTCCAACAATTTTACACATTAATAACAGGATAATGCCAAAGTAGTGAAACAGTAACACAAGTAGAGGCGCTACTGGGGCAGGTTTCATGAGGATATTTTAGACTGGTCTGTTGGGTAAGGCCAGTCTTGACTTACTCTTAGATTAGTTAGTTAGTTCAAAAGTCATGCTACTCCCACTTAACAGTGGCACAAACTAGGGCTGCGAACAGCCTCAAAAAAATGTAGCAATTGTTTATTTAAATGGAAACGGTAGCACATGAACACCTTGTTGTGTTAATCAGGCGCACTGCCAGTTAATATGGTGGCATTAATTCAATTCAAAGGGGCTTTACTGGCATGGGAAACATGTTACTCAGCCAAAGAATGTGTGAAATAAAAACAAAAATAGTCTATACAGTAAGTAAAATCTACTAGAATTTGATCACTGCCAATTGGGTAACACCTCTGACACACCCACCAAACGAGAGGAAATATACCTCAAAGACCATTCACACCATTTCAAGGAAACATGTCGTTCAACCCAAAAACCGTAGCCGAACGGTGCATACTGTTGCCCAGGTATTTCACCTGATTTTGAGTTTTTCTTTCCTTTTGGACATCTCTTTCTTTGCATCTTTTGCCATGTTTGTAAGTCTTTTCTGTGTTCTTGTAACGGTTTGTAACTGTTGAATTTCTCCAGAAGGCAAACATTTTCTGTTGGTGCGAAGAGAGATGAGTGGATTTGGCACAGCTGCTCAGTCAGCCATGTTTTTTAGCGAGGAAAAAAAGTCCTAGTTTACCCACAATTCACAAAATAGACAGCTTTGAGCAACTCATGAATTTCAGTGTCTATCTGAAGTCTCAGTAAGTCCATTAGTCAGATCCAAGCCTTTGTGAAACTGGCCCCTGTGATACCAGAGCAGGTCAGGCTGTGGAGGCAAAACCTCTGACTGTATTGAATCAAGCGAGGGTGAGTTTTATAGGGTATGATTTCAACTTTCATTTGTAAGGGGAAGAATGGTATGAGAACTCCTCAAGCAGTCATAAAAGTTGAATAATGCCCTCTGTCTTCTTTAAACAGTAAGCCTCTGTAATAAACTGGTTGTATGGATTTTTAAAGACATGAATGTTTGCCAGTTAGGGAGGGTCTCACCAAAAATATGCTATTGGGTGCATTGTGGGAAATGTAGGATGCAGCATTTTAGAGATTGGGACCAAAAGGATATTATGACTGCTAACATTTTGAGGTCACCAGCTTAATTCAGGTGCAGCACTGAATTTATGAATGACTGACTTTAATTCGATGTTTGTAGTTTTGGTGACATGTTCCTATTTCAAAGCTGATACTAAGACAACAAAATAACGACTTCACTGCCAGCTAGATCAACAAATACCCACTCATATGCTTCGATATCTGTGGTGCACCACCCTGTGTCAGTCAGTGCCTCACGTGTGCAGATAGAGTATAATTTCAATCTCCACTTGTTATACATTAGTATGAATTATTAACAATAAGCAGCGTGGAATGAAAAAGGAAAGCCATTTCTTCACAAATCTTTTTCTTGCTGTTTTCTTCATGTTATCTTATGAACGAATCACCACAATGTTGTGGCGCAGCGATGATTGCTTTGCTGTGCTAAACACTTGTAATAGATGGATCATCATTCTGTTGCTCTATTATGAATGTGGCCAATACCAAGTCCTCAGAAAAACATCTCAACAAGCCAAATGAGAACAACAATATCAATCCATTCCAGAGACCTCTCGGTATTAAAGCATGCACACTCTGACAGTTTCTTACAATATACTGGAGCAATAATGTAGCTGCGGAGTCGACTGTAGAATTCACTGTCTGATTTAATAAAGTATTTCATTAAAGGGTTGTTGCTGGGTTTATATGAGCCTCACTGTGCCTGGTCTGCATGCATTTTAATGCAGTTATTGTGATGTCTTAAAATTATGTTAAATGTACTAAGTTAAAACTGAAAAAGATTTTACACCCTTACATTTAATATTGTTTCTAAGATATTAATCACATAAAATATAACTGAATATTTCTGGAAATGCAGTTTGTCTCTTCTCTAGTAGATCAGAATATTATCTTACCTAAAACAATAAATTAAAGTATAACAACATTTCACTCAGTGGCTAAAACCCATTAATATTTGAGCAGAGTTAGCTATTTCTGTTGCACAAACAGCAGGTCCTGTATCTTCCTCAGTTAACTGTTGACTATTTGGAGTATTTCAGGCTGCAGCATGTAGACGGTCAACATTTTTCATCTGTACACGACTGCCTGGCTTGTGTTTAAAGTTAAAAAAAGGGCTCCAAAAGAAGCAGCAGCCCGGAGAAGATCAGCAGCTTTAAAACCTTTAAAAACAAATTATTGCTCCTCAAAAGCACTGTAATGCAGTTTAGCTGCTGTTGTTGGGCTGAATGTTAAAAATAAAGGCGTTACAGACCAGTGCTCTCCGTCTCAGGGTGACATCACTGTTCATGAAGATTGAAAAATGATTATTTTGTTTTGTTGATACACTACAGGCTACAAGCAGTGGCAGATATGCCCCTTGTGGTTATGCTACTCTGCTTTTCCCCAAAGACATCTAATATAATTGAGTAAATGTTCTTTTGTTCTCCTAATATTCTATTCAGAGTATTGAAGACCACGTTTACTTGTTGGGGGTCCTTGATTTGCAATTAGAGCAGCACAGATTATTACAGCATGGATTTAAATTAACAGTTAAACATTAATTCTGTGAACTCTGCTCCTGCTTAGTATAACACAAATAGATTTCAAGATTAGTAATGCTGTTTATGCCAAATTCGTTCTATAACTTTGTTGTGTAATTTGAAAACTATTTTTGCCTCTTTTCAGGAGTGAAAAAAATGCTCGCCATTCTATGTAAAAGGTACTGTTGTGGAATAGGGAGACAGAGTTGTTTCGCCTTTAAGCTAGCAGCGGAGGTATTAACAGTGCCAAATCAATGTTTTGTGTAAAAGGGTCACTCAGCAGTAGGGGACAAGCATGACATTTGACGAAGTGTCATGTGTGCGACCCACCAGTGGGAGATTAAGAAAGCAGCTTGCAGCAGTTAGCAGCTAACTCAAAGAAGAACAGCAACTGAAAATGTCCGCAAAATTTGGAAGACAATGAGGTCCGCAAGCTCCTTACCCTCCGAGTAGAGGTCGAGATCAGCTGCCATAAAACAGGGACAGTAAATGATTGTGATTGCCATGTTACGCCATTGTTATTGTTTAGAAAGCGCTGCCAATGTGTTATATGACACACTAGAAGCCGCCGCTGTCATGCTGTCCAACTCTTTTGCTTCTGGAATGCTGGCATGCTATCTAAATTCCCACACTACAGCGGTATTATACCTGTGTTGTTTGGTTCTGTATAAAAAAGCAAAGCCAGCACAATGAAAAGACTCCATTGTGGCCCTGTTGCGGGATCTCAAGGGCTTTAAATACATAGTAGTGTCGTCTCTACAGGATGATTTAGCAACTCTTATTTTTTGGCATTCTGTAATCTCAAATGGCTTGAAAAGTAGTGCGTAATAGCTGCCGTAAATAGGAAAAAATCTCCCCAAGGGAACACGCACCTGCACCCCCTCAGGTTTGGGCTGAGCCCCAAGTGTTTATGTCGGGCTCCGCCCCTGGCTACAAGCTACTACATAACTTGTGTGGGAAAACTCTTCTGTCCTAAAACAACACTCAAATAACCATGTCATTCAACATTTGGGTAAACTACCACTGGTCCTCAATCTGGGGGTCGGGCCCCTCCAAGAGGTCACAAGAGGTCATTACTGGTTAACAAGACAGGAAAGAACAAAACGTGTACTGTATTATTGCTGTTTACAAAATGACTTATGTCTTAGTCTTGTGAAATCCTCAACATTTTAGCCTCTTCAGCCCTGAAAAAGTTCTTCAAATGAGACAGTCGGGACAGATTTGACTGCTCACAGCTCACAGAGATATGCAGGCTGTGATGAGAGGCCCTCCAAGCAGACGTGACTTTGTCAAAGGCTTATCAAGCCGAGTGTGGCAGGGAACCACCACTGTACTTATTTTTCCTGTCCATAGTGGTGCTGGAGTGATCCCTTCCTAGACCAGTGTAAGAGATGGGGGACAAATTGTGAAGTCATCATTCTGTAGACAGAAAATTTAGCCTTCGGAAGTCTGAGTTGGCCACATCAAGTCTTAAAAAAAATCTGGTTTTGTGTTATTTACAGATGGAATTGCATATTGAGTATTGATTAAATTAAGTCAGACTGTGGAGGCCTCATGAAGTATTTACAAGCAAACTTAAGAAAGCAATCTTGGGATTTTGTCCCACATCTTCAACACTGGAATCACTAGAAAAGATCTCCTCATGAAGAGTATGGAGGAGTAATGATGACAGTGACTAATAACTATTTCCACAGACAAATTGACATGTGAGGATTGTATCAAGACAGACTTGAGAAATAAAAAACAAACCCTCTCATTTTAAGACTAGAAACAAAGCTTTTCCTGTGGACTGCTGTCTGCAGTCACCATCAGTGCAGAGAACATAATCACAGAGTAATAGCAGGGGTGGACAAGGGCGTCACATCATCTCTTTACATTGACTTTGGGACACAATAAAACCAAGGCAGGAAGAGAGAAAAGCACAAAATGTTAACATTTTATTTACAAAGTTGTTTTTTTTGTCATACAGAAAGTAAAAATGTAGCTACAACCTTGATTTGTGCAACAGGCAGCCACACTAAAAATCATGGCTCGCTGGTTGCACAGCTGCTATAGCAATAATTTTATTGGGAAAAAATAAGGAACAGAAAAAAAAAGACAAAAAAATGAGAAATAATAAACCCAACAACAAAAAATAATTCATCCAACAAAATATTAAAAGCACAGACCCAAAACTAGATACCAGTCCCAAAGTCCTCACACGGGAATACATAAAGAGGGATCGACAGTGAAATTGTGGAATGCTGAGTGCTGGGCTGCCTGAGAACCTCGGGGCCGTGGGGTGGGTGAGGTGGAGGGTGTTGGGTGGCTCTCAGTTCCATGAGGGAGAGGGGGGAGAAAAAAAGGGGGCGGCAGCTCCACTCGGCCCACCCATCCGGTACAGTCTTGCCCCTTAAAAAGAGCTCAGAGCTGGGGGGGTAGACGTGGATTACAAAGGCGGTGTGAGTTGTAGGAGGGCGGACGTTCGGGTTTGTGGGGGAGGAAGGGTAACTCGGTAGGCTCTCGTTTTTCAGTTTTGCTCTTAATCGTCGTCTTCGTCGTCATCATCGTCGTCCTCATCCTCTGGGTCTCGCTTTCTCTTCTCGCCTTTGCGAGCTTCTGCTTCTGAGAGGCAAAGAGGAAATCTGTGTCATGTGGTGTCATATGGTGCCACCAAACTCCAATTTTAGCACAACAGCAACTACAAATCTAATATTCCATTTGCAAAAAACAACAGCCTGACTCACTCCAAGCCTTTAATCATGCAGGAATCACAGCATGCTGGATTTATGCTTTTCCTTTTTACAATCTTAACATGATATAATCTTTATGTGTTACATATCTCAACACATATGCAGAGCTCTTAACATTTATTTAGTGTTAACTGTTACAAACAACTTATATCTTTCAGCATTATTAAAGACATCCTCTGGTGGGATCTCTGGGAGTCTGGGCAGTGTTTAAGAATGGTGCCTATCATGTTTTGCTGTCTCTACATGATATGAAGTTACACGATTAGGAGCTGAAAATAAACAGTGTCAGATATGGATCTTCAGTATTGACATTTTTCTGGAATTAACCGGACCTCACTCCTCAGATGTTGCTTTAAACAATTAACATTCTCATATCTTTTTGTCCCCAAAGACAATACATAATTTATCCCAGTACAGTGTCTTGTTTTAGTCATAATGAATGGTCAGTAATGGGTATGATCACTGTAGTAGTCTCTTGTTAAGGCCCTGTAAACTCTCCTGTGCAGAGCAGCCTCAGTAAGCAGAACCACCAGCAGGTGTCATATTATTCCTGATATCAAGTTTTTATAATTCATTATCAAGTTCGCTGTGGTCCCCACATATGTGCATGTACTCACTATTCAATGCACACATTTCTTTTATTTAAAGCTGCAGCTTAAGTACCGTTAAAGATACAATTTGTTTCCTACATTTGACAACTGACCTTTGATTATTCAATAAAAATAAAAAATAGAGTAGGGCTGGGCAACAGAGAAAATCAAATACCATTATTTATATATTTTTACCCAAATACCTTCATATTGACATTGTGATGATATTATTGGGCTGATTATTGATGCTTTCACCAAATATTTACACAATGTAATGTGGATGTGGTGACTGAGCAGCTGGAGCAGTATGGTAAAATCAGGAAATTACATCACTTCACTGTCATGCAGCCTTTAAAACCACTAAAGGCCCTACTTTATGACGCTATGTAGAATTATTTTGCACCTTTAATTTTTAATTCTAAAAAGTAGCTTTTTAAGGCTTTTTCAAGATAATATCACCAAATTTAAGACTGATTTTTGGACAAATCACCTTTTTCTTGTTCAATTTCTCAATGTTGGAATTTCTCAATTGTGGGATCAATGAAGGTGTATCTTATCTTATCTAAGCAAGGCAGGTAAGTATAAAGGTAAGTAGTATATGTACGTTGTCCCATGCAGAGGCCGTTTTATATAGGAATATGGTTATTAGAGTGAGTCAGGTTAATCTACATTTTGCCAAAACATAAGTGCAAATATAAAGTAAACGAGTATTAGGTTCAGTGGTGGGTTTAAAGATTTGTAACATCAGAAATGTGAACTTTTACGCAGAAGAACCTGACTCATTTTGACAAAAAGAAATTATAAGATGTAAATGAAATTAGTCTAAATGTTATTGGAAATTCAGACCTCACAAATTAAAGTTTCAGACTCTTAAATGACGTTTATAGCCTAATTTTAATAAAACTGAATTTAAGACATTTAAGACTTTATTAAAAGGACCTGCAGACACCCTGTTAAAGGTAGAATATGCAGGAATATTCAGTTACTGTTTGTAAACACACTTGCCAGCAAAAGTGAAAGCCAACCCAACATTCACGCTCGTTGTGTAACAAGCTTTGTGCCTTGCTTTATTTGTGTTTTTTCGACAATGTGTCTACAATTTTCATAGCTTTTCCTTGGATGCCTGCTGCTTAGAGTCTGGCACCTGGTTGCTACCCTTTCATACAGTCCTAACCTCACCTGTGCACTGTGCCCAAAATGAAAAATGTCCCTAACACAGCATAATAAGAGCACAATAAGGTAACTCAGGCAGAGAGCAGAGTCTCTGCAGATAAATACACCACCACACACTTCCAGTGGGTCATCAGTGATGACTGAGAGGGATTACTTTGTATTGTTTTTTAAGAAAATCCTGCAGAGTATACAAATCACAGTAAATTTTTTTTGATTTGGTAAGTCGTGTGTTCAGTCGCTATGTTACATGACTATCAATGGATTCTGGTCTCTGTCTGCAGTGTTCATTGCAACAATAGTTCAGTGCCTTTTTAATGAAGAAAGATTGCATGATTCACTCTAACGCAATCTATAGCCCCTTTTACACTGCAAGATTTTCCGCGAATGTTGGGCTGTTTTGCTGGCAAGCTGTGAGCGTTTAGACACACAGAGCCAGATTGGCGAGTTGATCCGAGGCGCCCAATTTTCCGCCTCGTAGGGTAGTCATATTGGCAGAACCCTTTTAGTTTAAACAGACCGAGGCGGCCTTCCGCAACGGGAGGGGTTGTTGATGACTTGTGGGAGGAACTGTTGATGACGCCGCATGTGCGAGCCACTGGCGGTGGATAAACAGGAAACAGCTGATAGCAGGAATTAGCGAACAGCTAGTAGCAAGAGGGAAACGCAAACCTGACAGACACTGTAAAGATGAGCAACTGGGGAGACAAGGAATTGCGCGCCCTCCTTGCCCTCGCAAACAAAGAGGCCATTAACTGTCAAATGATGGGGACGATGAAGAACAGGCCGACTTACGAGAGAATCACCAAGGGACTGACCAGCTGCGGCTTCCCTCCCATATCACTGTTTACGTCATACGCTGAGCTAGACGTTTTGTTACTTGCTCACGCCCCCCATTACCCTGAAAAAGGCGCATTCTGTATAAACAAAAGTAGGTAGGCGGCATTTTGCTGCACTCCCCAATTTTGTTTTTATACTGCCAATGCTGAAAAAAGACTGATTGGGCTTTCCTGCAAATTTGCACAATTCCTATCTAAAAGGGCTTATGAAAAATCTGTGAAGTTTCCTCATACTTAATGCACCTGAAGTACAGGGCAGAATAAGAAATGTCCCACCTATTAGGACATACAAACATAAAACAATTATTTGCCCTGTGGAGAGTTTGGAGTTGTGACGGAGAGTTTGAGGAACTGTTGTGTTGTACGTAGAGTAGTAGTTTACTGTGTTGAAATAAGTTTTCAAGGTGCTTTGGCTTGAATGCATTTTTTTAATGTGAGTGGGACTGTGTTCAAGCACAGAAGCAGTACGTACCGTCTTCATCGTCTTCGTCGTCATCATCCTCTTCATCCACTTCCCCATCCTGACCAAAGTCTTCCTCCTTGGTAGACAAAAGTGTACAAGTTAAAACAGAAACGACGAATCCAAACTCCTTGTAAGAAGATTTTCAGCCAAATAATTCTGTCGAGCTTTGTGTTTTTAATTACCTCATCTTCCCCGCTGACCTCATCGTCATCCTCTTCTCCTTCTACCTCCTCTTCGTCTTCCTCATCCTCCTCCTCCTCGTCAAAGTCCTCCTCCTCTCCGTCCTCATCTTCCTCCTCCTCTCCCTCTGCAATACAAAGGCAACAACAGCCGGTCAGCCACAGAGTGGAATCATGCAAAGTCCAACAGTTATAAAGTCCATGTTCAAAGTGAAGGGCGCAGTTTATTAAATAGTGTTGCTATGGAAATCAAAACAAAGGTTCAGGCAGGCAGCCATGATGAGAGTGAACTGTATTCATATTATTTAGTGGTGTATTCATCTTGTGTTGGTATCTTTACAGCTGTTGTGGACTTCTGCACTGATGATGATGATTTATTATTGTATATTACTGCGTTGCTGCCTTTTTTCAACTGTCTAGTAAGGCGTCCTTGAGCCTTCTCTGAGATACTGGAAAAACTTCTCACCTTCATCTTCATCGTCATCTACGCCGTCTCCATCCACCTCTCCGTCAGAGTCTGAGGCTTCCCTGTCCTCCATGTCGTAGCCATCCAGGTAGGTGAGCTGTGGCAGCAGCTTGAACACGCTCTCTCTGTAGTCATTCAGGTTTGTCACTTCACAGTTGAACAGGTCCAAACTCTTCAGGTTATCCAGCTTTTTCTGTTGATCAGATGAAGCGAGGTGCTGTGATGACAAACTGCTGCATGTCTTGTCTTGTCTTTATGGTACTAGCTGCTAGTGTGAGTGTGCTGAGTACAAGGTTGGGTGTTGATATTTATATCCAATATCAATTATAAAGAGATCTCATTAATGTGACTGGCTGTACTGGGAAACTGTAAGGAGAACTAATTTGTGGAAATGATGGATTTATATGTTTTCCATCAATGTAAACTAACTTTATTGGTAAGGTACATCATTATCTGGATAGTAAAAAAACTATTTTGCATTTGTTTTTATTCAATTACTTTAAATATATTATGTTTCGCAACTGAATCTACACAAAAAATAAATACATGGCAGTTTCCTACACCTCTAACAAGGAGAATGTTATATGCAGTTTTCTCAAAGGTCTACTATTTTGTTGTTCTTAAATGCATTTCCAGTCATTATTTGAAATTCATATAAGTGGGTATTCAATAAATTTGCAATTGATAAGGAGGATCTCTCCTGAACTCTTCTTAGGGTCAGCTGCAGTGTGTGTTTAGTGTCAAGAACAGATTAAATATTGATATCTGAATAAAGATACACAAAGCAGTGCTGGAATTAGAAACATGTATGTGATTTGTATGCAATGGGTTGGGGTAATAACAGCTAACTAACTGTAATCATATTTACATTAATGACATTGTGTGCATAGAAGTTTTTGTCTAAATATTTAAAATGCTTTGTCTAATTATGATAAATCTGTCACAAAAAGCACCATGTCTGCCCCCACCTAAGACAGAGTAAACACACAGCGTACAGTCTGGAGGCATGCAGATGGACACATGTGGTGTGTTGCTTCTAACATGTCTGAAAAACATACCAACGGTTCCAATGTGCTGATGTCTTTCAATTTGTTGCCACTCAGGTTTAGATGTGTGAGGTTGGGGAGTTTCTCTGCTAAAACATCAAGGCCTCCGCTGATTCTGTTGTCACTCAACTCCAGCTGAAAGATGGTGGAGAGAAACGTTATGACAGCAGACACTTTATCACAATTCTTGCACAGGAGGTACTGGGGTGAAACATCATTTTTCTTACCTTTTTGAGTTTTCCTAGTTTAGGCAGGTTGGAAACTGACATTAAGCAAACATTTATCAAACTGAGGAACTCCAGGTTGACAAACTCAGCTGTGAGGCCTTCGATTTTTCCTTCAGCTGATCGACAATTGTCAAGGACGAGTTCTCGTACCTGAAATATAGATAAATAAATATATTACCATAAAAACCAATACAGTTTAATGCAATTAGTGAAACTACACTTGCTTTTATTCATCTGTAATTACAATTTATGTTGAAATAAAATAAAAAATATTGCAAAATGTTTTATAAAATAGCATTTCTGAAACACAGTTATATAACTTTGTGAACAAATTAATTAAAACAAGTTGGCAAACAGCATAATTATAATGTGTTTATTAGGGGGTGTTGTTGAGCAAAATGGCCCTTTACTTGGTGTAAAGTAATTAAAAGCTATTTCGTAGTTGGTGTAAAATATTAGAAAAACAAGTCTGAAGGCGGAGTTACTTTGACTCAGTTAAAGCTAACACTGGTTGCGCAATTCAGTGTCGGACAAAAACGTTGCAAAAAAAGTTGCTGTCAACCGTCAAACATCACGATTTCTCAACTAAAAGCACCGAAACGGATCCTGTGTCTCCACCTAAAAACACCCGTGTGCTCCGTTCACCTGAGCACCACGGATAATGTAGTGATTTCGTGGAAACGAGGAAGAGAAAGCCAGTAGCTTCCCATGGCCTGCTGATGCAGTCACTAATGACAAATGCAATGATTTTTAGTGAGCTAGCTCGCTACAGGCTAGCCATTGCCCCTTTTAAACGCTGCCGTGCAGCAGAGGAGCAGCTACAGAGGTCTGTCTGCCCGCCATTAGCCAACCCAACAGCAACGGAAAGGATTGCGAATACACCCTTAGTACAGATTTTCTTTTTTTGTCGTTAAACCAGCTTTCATGGTGGGAAGTGGAATATTCCTTGTCGTCGAGAGAACGACCGTTATTGCCGGTTTGTTACAGGGCACGACGTCGTTTTCAGGTCGAAGTGGCGAAGGAAATATATTGAGAACGGAAATTTAGTAAAAACAAAGATGGAGACAGTTCCTTTCTCCCAGAGCTTCAAAGACGACAGAATGACAACATGGCGATTCCTGAGACACAGTATGCAGTTCTCTGAACACTTCAATGACAAAAAAGTGCTGCCTAGAAAGAGTAATTACCGCTACTTACACGCTATCTAAGTGATTTTAACGATGTTAAACGAGTTTTATATCGTGCATGAGTCGAGAGGAAACGCCGACCGTCGAGTTTTTGGCTGCCCACGCATCAAGCGCGGTGCACCGGATCTCCGTGTCATTCAAGCAGGCTGGCTCGGTTAATGAAGCCGCTGGCCAACACATCGATCCGTTTAGTGGCAAACAACGCCAAGTTTAGCTTTAACAGCCATTACTAGTCGACAGAACAGTTGTGTTTGGGCTTTTTAACATGTATATAGGTGTATTTTGTTGTCTTTGCTCGGTGTAACGAGGAGGGTAATATGGCGGGAACAAAAATACTAAGTTAGGCTGCTGCTGCTGCTTGAATGACTGCGACTCATCTGATCACCAGACTTCATTAAAGAAGTATGCAATATTTAGCAAATGGATGCAACGATATGAAAAGGGGGTAACGCAGCTGCTGTACGAGCGTGTTAGCTATTTTTGGGAATAAACCGCTGCACACTCCCTTTAAAAAAAACTTGCAACAGCTTAAACGTGGCTTTTAAACAACCCACTTTAACAGGAATGGCTGGCTACCTGCTACATTGCGTGTAAATACCAACTGGCTTTCGGTGATAGTAACAGTGGCTTAACGTTAAGTGATCAAGGTATGGATGACTCGTGAATCAAGCGACTGTTTTTTGTTGTCGCTGCTGAATCTGGCCATTTGATATTAACGTAGTCCACAGAAATTTCAGCACATCACTCGTGATCGCCGACGGCCCCGTTAACATGTAACAAAAACTCATTTTCAGCACCGTGGCTTCGGAGTTGTAAAAAAAGCATTTGTGTTATTTTAAAAAGCGCCCCATTTTAGCAGTTATGCTAGCAGCAAACATGGCTACCAAGGTCTGTATAAAATATACCGCTCTGTGAATGCCAAACGCGGCGCAGGAAGCAAATGTGTTCACATATCAGCGTAAAAAGAAGTTTACTAATTGTGGTACAACGGGGGAGTCGAGCTGGATCGTGTGTGCACCACTGACCAAGGAGGCTGCGAAACGGTTAAAGCACTGCAATAATGCCAGCAAGCTGAGGGGGAATCGCCGTTTCAAAGTAACGATTGAATATAGCTTTTCTCCTCTCCTTGCCCCCATACGCCCAATCCAGACCAGTATAAAGGATTAAGCTTGTTGTGCGAGTGTTTTCCGCCCTATTATGAACGAGAATCACAACCTAAAGCCCATGTGGTCACCATTACGTTAGCCACACAGGTCACTCGCAAAGCAAAAAAGTAGCAAGCTGGCTAGCAAGGCTAACCAGAAAACTAAGGGTTGGTTTTAAAAAAGCACGACTCACATCAGACGGTGTCCTGTTTCTTAGCTCCAAGTGGATCCTCTTGCTCATGTCCATCTTGCCCTATGAAAGTAAAACTTTTCTCTCTTGGGTTTTGTTGGGATCTTCAGTCCAAAGGCAGAGATGCCCTAATGGAGGGAGAATATAGGACTGTATAATGAACTGAGCCAAACGCTAAGTTAGTCGGAGAGAGGAGAAACCATGGAGGGAAACGGGACTGAAACAAAATATATGCTCAACAGCGCCATCTGCGTCCAGCACGCCCATCGCCTCTATAAAGGCATTGCAGTCACAAAACATGACGCTGCCCCGAAACGGTGCTATGGTGCAATTTATTTCTGCAAGGAAACTACTGTACTATGTTGAGTGAATATAAGAGGCTTTTGTTGGTGTAGTCAAATTTATTACACGCAAAAAAATGCAGAACATATGTGTGCAGCTAAACAGCATTCAACCAGTCAGACGTCGATAAAGTAGGTCATATGGTCAACTTTGTTTATCTGCTTCTCTTAAAGTTCTACAGCTTGGAAACAGCCACGTTTCATATATTTAAAGTCATATTCATATACTTTCACATGCAATGTGTAAATAAGGTGAAAACCCAACGTGGTGAGGAATTCCTGTGTTGATCCCCACTTAAACCTGTTGCCTTCCTTTGTTTGCCAGCTGCATATTTGCAATTGTAGCCCAGCCAGTGATGAATCTGTAACCCTTTGTGCCCGTTATGATCAATAAAGTGCACAGTGGATAAATTGTGTTGTACTTGTGGTTCATAAATGCCAGATTCCTTTAACCGTTTGGACGTCCTGCGAGAAAGGAGGGGTGTGTTTGGTTTGCAGTAAAGAGAGCATTGTATATGCACATGGAGAGCAGGGCACCCCCTCCAACCCCACCCCCCTTTACTTCCTGAGACCCCAGAGCCCTCAAGTAGAAGTGTACTTAGCAGGAATTGTTGATTTTTTATACATTAAATTATGAATCAGCAATTCTATTATGTATTTTAATAAAATTATGGATCTATTTTAAGGTTTATAGTGCATAGATATAACACACATTACCACAGGATCCAAGCTATAATGCCAACATGTCACTGTTAAAGGTACATCATCCTAATAGTTTATGCTTTGTGCAAGTTTTATGTAGGCTACATAATACATCAATATAACAGTTTTTTAATCAGCGCTTGGTACTTGAAAATGTGCACCAGAAGGTGGCACTGTAATATCTGCTATGACATTCCTCAAATATGAGATTCATAGTGCAACAGTAGGGGTGTGTGTGTGTGAGTGAGTGACAGCCTTTTCTGCGCTGTGGCTGTAACAGTAGTGCTGATAATAATCAGTCATTTGGAGAGATGTGGATACTTGGAGGAAGTCCATCCTTATGTCTGCGGGACATTTATCAGCTGAGGAGTTAACTGCGGTCTTTTGGCCAGCTGGAAATCAACACTGATACTGGAGATGCTGGAAAATGTTCAAGGTTGTTTGCATGTGTGATTATAAGTGTGTTAGGTTTTGTTTGATTTTACTAGTGGGACAGTTTGTTCATCCTAGTCAGTGTATGTCAGAGAAGGAGGTTGTGATACTTGGTATTGCATGGGCTTTGCAAGATGAGTTTTTTCAACATTAAAATCTATCCTGAACAAAACAGGTGAATTATATTTTCCACTGCATCCATGGATGGATTACTGAACAGGCTTACAGGGCACAGGCCCAGGGGCCTAAAGTGTCCGGGGCCCCCGAGTCACCTGTAAACTGTCACTCAAATTAACCTGTACCAGCCTCATAGAGACACAAAATGACCACAAAGTGACACAAAAAGACCACAAAGACATGCAAAGGGACAACAAAGAAACACAAAACCACTAGAATGACGTGCAAAGGGACAACAAATGACCAAGGAAATAGACAGATATACCCCAAAAAGACTAAATGACTTATAAGAGACAAAAACAACTACAGAGAGACACAAATTTACCTCAAATGACCTCAGAGATTCACACACAACCACAAAGAGATTCACAGGAACTATAAAGAGACACAAAACGACCAAGAAAGACACAAATATACTCCAAATAATCAAAAAATGACTTCAAAGACATAAAAACGACTACAAAGGGATATAAAGGAACCACAAAGAGACACAAAACATCCAGGAAAGACACAAATATACCTCGAAGACACAAAATGACCCCAAAGAAACATTAACAACCTCAAAGAGATGCAAAGAAACTACAAAGACACACAAAATGACTACAGAGAGACACAAAATGACCAAAAATATATATTTATCTCAAACAGAAACGAAATGACTACAAAAAGATGCGAGGGAACTACAAAGAGACAGAAAATGACTAGAAAGACCTGCAAAGGGACTATAAAGAGATGTGAAGCATTTAGAAAGACATGCAGAGGGACGACAGAGACACAAAAGCAACAAAACACAAATATACTTCAAGGAGACACAAAATTAGTTCAAAGACACAAAAACAACCACAAAGAGACAAAAAAAGACACAAATTTCCCTCGAAGACACACAAAATGACCTCAAAGAGAAACACACAGCCTCAAAGAGATACAAAGGAACTGTAAAGAGACACAAAACGACCAAGAAAGACACAAATATACCCCAAAGAAACACAAAATGAGTTCAAAGACACAACAATGACTACAAAGTGATACAAAGGAACTACAAAAAGACACAAAATGACTTCAGTGAGACACAAAAACACTACAAAGGGAATCAAGTATACCTCAAAGACACACAAAATGACCTCAAAGCGACACAAACAACCACAACAAGATACAAAAGAACTACAAAGAGACACAAAATGACCCAAAAAGACACAATCATACCTCAAAGAGACACAAAATGATAACAAAGAGACACAAAACCACAAAAAGATGCACCACAAACAAACAAAAAGATGCACAACCATCCCAAAGTTCATGGGTCTTGCTCTTATAGGAGAAGTAGTGGGGCCTTTTGCGTATCTGTGCGCAGGGGTCCATTGCCTCACAGTCCGCCCATGACTGCATCTTGTCTACACTCATAGGTTCATCCATATAGAATGTACTACAGACAGACAGACAGACGGTAGTTCAGATTAACATGCAGTTCTCTTACTGTAATTTTCTGAAGTGTGTGTGAACTGAAAGACGCTCCTTGAATTTAACCAAGAGACCCTCAACATTTCCCCTACAGTGCTGGAGGCAATTGGCAGTTGAGTGTTATTTACTCTGCTGGGCAGCTTTTTTCTCTGAGTGGCTCAAATACACACATCAGGGCTCAATGTGCTGTGAGAAGATTGAGAACACACCCCAACTGAGCAGCTCTCCATCTGTGAGATAAGATGGGTATGCCCCTTCTCCGGCTAAAGACAGGATTTCTGGCTTGGTCTCTAAAGGCTATCTGATAGCTTTTCAACACAGCAGCCTACCCAGAGCTCTTTATAACACATTGCATTCTTAGAACAAGACAGATTTATCACAAATAAAATGTTTTTTAGTATGTTTAGTGGGGATTATTGTTATTTATACAAAAAGCAACATGCAAGGCTTTAGAAATTTGCTGTTTTTTTTATATCATATTCAGAGTTTCATATAACTTTTGACCTGTTTGCAACTGCCACGTGTGGATTATGAGACAATGAACCCCTGAGCACAAATAAGCAGAAGGCCCCACCTCTCCTAAATAAGAGCAAGACACATAGAATCTCTGTGATAACATTGTGTGTGGTCATTTTGTGTGTCTTTGAGGTCATTTGTGGCCATTTTGTGAGTCTTTGTAGTTGTTTTGTGTCCATTTAAAGCCATTTTGTGTCCCTTTAAATTCATTTTGTGTCTCTTTAAAGTCATTTTGTGTCCCTTTTGGTAAATGTGTGTCTATTTGTCATCTTGTTTGTCTCTTTAAAGTCATTTTGTGTCTTCACTGGTTGTTTTGTGTCTCTTTAAAGTAATTTTGTGTCTCTTTGTCATGGTTTTTGTGTCTTTAAAGTCATTTTGTGTCCCCTTTGGTTGTTGTGTGTCTATTTGTCGTCATTTTTTGTCTCTTTGAAGTCATTTTCTGTCTTTTTGTGGTTGTTTTGTATTTCTTCGTCATCATTTTGTGAGTCTTTGAGGTAATTTTTTTGTCTCTTTAGGTTCATTTTCTGTCTTTTTTGGTCATTTTGTGTCTCCTTATAGTCATTTTGTGTGTCTTTGTAGTTGTTTTGGACCTTTTTTTCATAAATTTGTATCATTTCGGCAGTTTCTTTGCATCTTTTTTGTGTCTCTTTGTGGTCAATTTGAGTGTTTTCCTGGTCAGTACATGTTTATTTGAGTGACATTTTGCAGGTGAAGGCCAAGGGGCCCTCTGACACTTTTGGGCCCCTGGGCCTGTGCTCAGTAGACACATTCAGTCATCAATTCAGGGTGTGTGTCAACAATATTTAGCAAGTTAAACATTGAATAACAGTTTAAAAAAAATCAGTACTTGTGCCATTGATAAGCAACAGCAGCATTATAGTTTTATTATCAGCTGCAGGCTTGCTCATAAACCTGTCTGCAAAACAGAGGAGTCTCTTTTAATTTCCAGTCTGTACATTGGTTTTATTACGACAACATTTCAGTCTAATAATCCATCTTCTACATGCATTTCCCCTGTCACCACATAGCGTAAATATTCTGTCCCTATCTGCCCTCACATAACTTGCTCTGGTCATTTTTTTTCTGTCTGTCAGTACTGTGCCAACTCCTCCAGCTTCACAAATATGATAAGACCAAAGCTGCAAGAACTCTTCCAGCACTATGGTAATGGTTAACCAGATAATTCACGAAGGGGTGGGAATAGAAAACAGTCAGAAGTTATTCTGTCTTCTGTTCTGTGCTTGCGCGCCTTCAATGAGTTGAATTCATTCATAGCAGGACTCAGAATGGAGGAGACGTTGCAACAAGAGACACAAGAGTCGGAATATAAAAATCCCAATGAGGACCAAGGTAACTTTTACAACATTCTTCACGTTTTGTTTTTTTTTAAGTTGTTAAGTTGTTACTGCAGTATTCCTGCACTAGAAAGTTGAATGAACCGGTTATTCATCCACATGCTGTGTGGAGGCTTTTGGTCAGCTCAGACAGAAATACTTTAATCTACAGATAAGCTGCTGTTACTACAGAGGAGAGACATTTTTAGCCTTTATTTAAAGTATAGTGTGGAAATGTTCCAGTCAAAGACTTGCCAGTGTGTAGCTGAAAGAAAAAATGTCCATAAACACATCTTTATGTGCCATTCGTCACTCACATTTACCGGTCATGCATAAAAATATACTTCTCTGTGTCTCTATGATTTCATACGGCCCTTGATATAATGTTTTCTCTGTTTTATAGGTGGGATCCGTCGCAGGTTGCGAGACAGGGACCTTCTCAGGAAGAGAAAGGCTGAAGCAGAAGAGAAGGAGACTAACCAGTGGGTTTTGGGGTAAATTTATAAAAAAGCACAGTCAGTGTGCAGTGACCTACATTTACAGCTATGTTCATGTTGACTAACCGTCATAGGTTTAGCAGTGCGGACAGTATGTACTAATGCAATGATACAGTGAATAGTTGTTTTGAAGCAATGCAGAGTAAAAATAAAAAGCATGATTGATTGATTCAGGAATGTTTAGTGAGGCTGCATTAACAAAACTTGCAGTATATAACACTGCACTGTACAATGCGCGGTTGAAGCATTATCAGCACTCCAGCTGCTTATCACTCCTCTGCTTTATATTGAATATGGAGCAAGAGGAAACCAAAGGTTGCTCTGGTGTTTCTATTGACGCCCCAGATCCAGGTCAAGGACTTTGTACTATTAGCTTTTGCCAAAGAATCACAAAGAGCTGTATCAATGTCCACTTTTGTTTGGGTTGATTACAATTGCTGCACTCTCTCAGGGTGGAGAGACAGAGGAAAAGACCCAGGGCTGATGGTGGCATGAAGAGGAGGGGAAGGCCCAGGAAGAGCGAGCCCCCACCGGAGATATCTGTCATTCTGGAGGAGGCAGAAAACCCTCCAGATGCTCCTGCAGTAGTGGTGGTGCCTGAGCCTGCTGAGTTCATCCCAGATCAAACACCAGGCTCTCTGACGCCCTCACTTGCTGTGGAACCACAACCTCCAACTGTCCTTGCCACCCCGGCTCCTCCACTGGTGTTTGGATCCATCCAAAGCCCCATCTTTGCTCCCACTCTGACGTCTCCAGCTTTCGTTGACCCGACACCAGCCTCTTTTTCACCATCAGCTCTGGCTCCATCTCTAGCTGCAGCTCTGGATATGGCGCCAATCCCTGTCCAAGAATCACCTGTCCAAGATTCAGCTCCAGCTCCAGCTCCAGACACTGTCCCAGCTCCAGCTGTGACCCAAGCCCCTGTTCCAGCTGCAGATCCTGCTCCTCCCACAGCTCCTCCCCAGGTGACCTTCTACTCAGAGTCTCAAGGCAGGGAGCCCCTTGCCCCAGTCCTGATTGAGGACTTGGGCCCAGATGAGGAAGAAGACATTGCTCCATCTCAAGACAAAAAGGCTGATGAAGGTAATACAGAGGAAATTATAATTGCCAGGACTCAGGAGGATGAATGGTGTGGAAACATAAGAACATTTGCCTGATTGAAGAGTTTAATTTGTCTTAATTTTAACTGTATCCTGTCTTTTTTTTTTTTTTTTTTAGAGTTGACTGAGACACCGTTGATCAACGTATCCGAACAAAACGAAACGTTCTCAACTCTAACCTTGACCTCAACGCCTCCTCCACAAAGATATTTCCCAGGATTCTAATTCTCCAAAACGCACTTTTCAGATACTGCCTCGACTCAGACTACATCCTCTTTGTACCTGAGTATAATTTTGGTTAGTGTGCAGCCTGTTGGTTGCAGAGAACAAACACGTTGAGCATATATGCATTGCTTATTTGACAAATGTATGAATTCAAACCCAACCTGTATGCTTATTTATTCTGGTGGTGTGCTTCACTGCGAAGCTCATGAATTCTATTTTGTATTTTGCATTTAGTAAACTGCAAATTTTGCTTGATTGTATTTAAAAGTAAATGGTATAAATCACTGGTAATGATTGTGTTTGTAATTGTGGATTTATTTGATAGACTTTTGTAAAAGTTGTTTTTCACCGAATAAAATAAAAATGCTTACAATCATCTAACTGTGGTCATTATTATTATGTGATAAATGTGTGATCAGTAATACAATAAAAGAGATTTCCTTTAAATTTATTAATAGATTTTTATTAATCCCTCTATTTACTATCTTACAAAATGTGTGAAGATCATAGATTATAATGGTGTGTTTGTACAGGCTCCTATGAGACATAAATGTATTGTATTTTATTATTGCTTAGTTTTTTGAGGATCTTTCTGCTTTTGTATCACCCAGAATTTGTCTTTTTTCCACTTAGATGGAGAAATTTAACTATGGTCAAATTTTATCAGATGAAATACAAATACTCTAAAAAAAAAATCTTGTTTTCTGCTCTTATAGGCCTTTGGAATAACTGGCTTTACTTAATCTGCCTGTAAAACCTTTATTTTGTTGATGATATACTGAGGTGGAAGAGAATTTGGATACAGTGCTGAGGAGTAACTAGTTACATGTAGGCAGTTATATGCAGTTAAATTACAAATTAAATCTAACTGTAATCAGTTGCAGAGAAAACACGTTATTAAATTACAGTTATTAATCAAAATACTGGTGATCATAAAGGGGTTACATCCACTTTAACTTAGCTAAAAGATTATTTGTAGAATAAAACTTTAATTCTGTTGATTTGCATCTTGTCATCATGCAGACATGCCTTCTTTTGGCAAAGTCTATTTCTGGACATTTTCAGCTTTATTGCCCAGTTTAAAACATTTGTTAGTAAAGTAATTAAATGTAATGAGATACAGTACTTTTAGACAGTAATTAAAATAGTTACATTACTTATTATATTTTTACCTAGGGTAACTAGGCCTTATCTGTAGCCTTACATTTCAAAACCTTACCAACACTGACAACACCACAATGTCAAAATACTCCATAACAACTAGAAGTCCATTCTTCCAAGGATGGAATTGTAACTACTTTATATTCTGTTTCATCCATGATAATGCATTGTATTAAGTGAGACAATGTTATATGTTGTGTAAAATCTGAATTTGTAGAGTGTCAATCTCTGAGATTAATGCAGAAAAATATTTCCTTCTGAGATACAAGTAAATGCCTCTAGTGTTCTTAATAACTGGATGTCCTTTTATATTGTATCAACTTTGCCTCAAGTTTTGGCACCAAATCACACATTTTATGATCATTACTTTCGTGTGACTTAAAAAAGAATCATTTCTTCTTCATGTGTTCAAAGAAGTCTTTTAAACTGTATGCCCTGATTTGTTTGTTTGTTTGTTTGTTTATTTTTTGTGCTTTGTTGTATTTTAGATAGCCTTGTGTAACATCTTGGCCAAGGGACAACAGATGAGAAATAGCCTTTTGGCTAATTCTGGCATTGTTATATCACTTTGTAGTCATGTTGTGTCTTTTTAAAGTCATTTTGTGTCTTTTTTTGGTTGTTTTGTGTCTCTTTGAAGTCATTTGTCATTTTCTTAGTGGGTTTGTGTGTCTTTGTGGTCCTTTTTAGTCTCTGTGAGGTCTTTTTGTGTGTCTTGAAGTCATTTTATTTATTTTTTGGTCATTGTGTCTCTTATGAGGTCATTTTGTGTCTCCTTTAAGTCATTTTGTGTGTTTTTTGGTTGTTTTGTGTCTGTTTGTTGTCATGTTTTGTCTCTTTGAAGTCATTTTGTGGTTGTTTAGTATTTCTTTGTTATCATTTTGTGACTCTTTGAGGTCTCTTTAGCTTCAGTTTGTGTCTGTTTTGGTCATTTTGTGTCTCGTTGTAGTCATTTTGTATTTCTTTGTAGTTGTTTTGGACCTTTTATTTGTACATTTCTGTCCTTTTGCAGTTACTTTGCATCTTTTTGTGTCTCTTTGTGGTCATTTTGAGTCTTTTTCTGGTCAGTATGTGTTTATTTGAGCGACATTTTGCAGGTGAAGGCCAATGGGCCCTCTGACACTTATGTTGTTTTATTTCTCTTTGTTGTGTTTTTTTCTCTCTCTTTGGTGGTTGTGTGTCCTTGTAGTCATTTTGTGTCTTGTTGAGGTCATTTTGTGTCTCTCTAAAGTATTTTTGTGTCTCTTTTGGTTGTTTAATGTCTCTTTGTCATACTTTTTTGTCTCTTTGAACTCAATTTATGGTCGTTTTGTATTTCTTTGAAGTCATTTTTTGGTGGTTTGTGTTTCCTTGTAGTTATTTTGTTTCTTTGTAGCTGTTTTGGACCTTTTATCTGTAAATTTGTGTCCTTCCTTCGGCAGTTCCTTTGCATGTCTTTGTGGTCATTTTCAGTCTTTTCCTGGTCAGCATGTGTTTATTTGAGTGATATTTTGCAGGCGAAGGCCAAGATTACCATGTGTATTTATTAATTTTCACTGTCCCTTCTTAAAATAACTAAACTAAATTAAAACAGACTAAACTAAATGTACCCAAAAGCAATACTTGAGTAAATACATTCCAGACTTTCTGATTGTACAGTGTATTGTTGGATGCTTTTGTGTGGGCTTCTTGTTCTGCATTCTTCAATAAAGCTTGTTAAAAAAATAGTAAATAATGAGCCATAGTTGTTGCTGCCCTCTGCTGACATAACACCTGCAGTGCAACTTTATCAAAGACTCCTGCAACATTCATGCGTAGTTCATGCTTTACCGGCCCCAAGCAGTGTTTTCTACCAACATGTATGTTACAGTACACATTACAGAGTATAACATGTTGTTGTTGAGCTGCTCAGATTAGCTGTCAGTTATTATGTGATCACCTGAAACACTGCTGGTTGGCCAACAGGAAGTCAACATGTGCTTCCGCATGGAAAAACACCCACGTGTTTCGTCAGCGTGTGGGTTTGTTGCTGTTTAGCAGTAGCAGCTAGTTAAAGGCTAACTTATTCAGGACTGTGTGTTGTCCTGTATAACAGTAAGATGAGCCCTGTGTGTGACTGCTGCGGTGAGCACATTAACAACCTGAAGCAGCAGGTTTCTGTGATGAGAAAAGAAATAAAGAACCTGAGGTATGTTCACAACACCGCACATTGAGTCAACAGAGTGCACCAATGACCTTTGTGACAGCTGTAACTATAAATGTTTCTCTTTAGACATGGTGTATAGTAAGGTTAAGCGACATGTTATCAGTATATTTTCTGTTATGTACGTTAAGTTGTATAAGATTTGCCCTGTTTCTCTGCAGACATGACACTCATAACATCATACACATATTATCTGTACCACTGCTGACATGGTATGTACTCTTCTTTAACAGGCAGATGTTGGACAGTGCAGTTAGAGCTCAGCGCAAACACATGATATCCATTCAGTCGGCTGTGTCAAAGATTGGACCCTGTGAACCTGTTAAAGACCAGCCTCCACCACCACCACTGCCTCCACCAGCAGTGTCACCACAGGCTGCATTAGAGCAAGGTGATTACCATTAGTTCTACTGTGCAGTCACCCACAGCAGTGATGTAAAAGACAGGACTTCTGCAGGAAGAAAAAAATCTAGTTTTTCTTCATCACATCACATAAGAAAGAACTCGATCTATCCTAAAGGAAATTTATGTGTCAAAAATGCTCAGTATACAAAGTGAAATAAAAGTGCTTTACAATAAGGGCAGTATAAGCACTGAGTGCTTCACATGAAAATAGACATAATGGACACAAAACAGTGTAAGACATGGAGTTGTAAAACTATAAATCATAATATCAAGTAAGATTTTTAAAGAGTTGCAGCAGCATGAAACGTAGAAATAAAGAGTGTCAGACCTGTATCAGGAAGTCAGAGCTAGTTAAAGGTTAGAGTGAACAGATATGTTTTTCCATTCTTAAAAAAATATTTAGTGTTAGCGTCCCTGGCATCTATAGGTAGTTTGTTCCATAGCTTTGGGGCGTAATTAACAAAGGCTTCTTTTGGCTGTTGCTGGGAACCTACAATAAACCAGCAGCAGAGGATCGCAGTGTTCTTGGAGGCAAATAGTTAACAAGGGAGTTAGTGATGTAGCTCAGTCCCAGCCCATGTGGGGCTCTGTGTATAAGGAGGAGGAGCTTAAATGATGGGCTTTGTCATTAGCTTTTAATGATTGATTTCTTTAATTGACTGATTAGTAACTTAGTTACAAAAAAGTCACTAAAATAGTCAACAAAAAAGTGCCAATCACAGTTGTACAAGATGACATCTTCAACTTGTAAACCAGCAGTTGAGAATCCACATAAATTTACAGTATAATAAATTAGCAAGTTTGATTATTTTTGTGTCAATCGATAAATCATTTCAGTTCTTAGATAAACTTGTATACGTATCATTTATATATACAGTACATACTGTAAAACTTCAATTAAAAGCCTAGCCCCTTATAAAGAGGTGGAGTCCTGTAATGAGTTTGTAAATTCTTCTATTCCCATCCCACTTTTATACTTTTAAGTTTACTCTATTTATTTATTTACATTTTTTCCCTTCTCTTGCTTTTCCCTTGTTTTTCCTCTTTTTTCTTCTCTTTGTACTCACGAGTGCACATGTAGTCAAACAGGTATGTACACATAAACACATTTATTTATTAATCATTATTATAGGTATCTCATTTCCTTTCTTTTTCCTCGCAAGAGTGAATGTCAGGTACATCTTACTGCACTTGAACACTTCACTGTACGTATCTTAAAACTGGATAGACGTTACTTTGTACAATGATCAAAGTACTGTGTACTGTGTGAGTCATGTAAAAACTGTATTGCTTGTATAAAATGCTGAATAATGTGGTGTTTAAAAAAAAGAAAAAAGTGAAGTCCCTTCTACTAGCCTGGTGCAGCTACACATTTTGACACATAAACCCTTGTCTCAATTAGACGCCTTGTCTAGTTGCCACTTAATTTTTTTTTCTTTTTTTTTTTTTTAAAGAAGTTCTTCAGGTTTATAAAACTGTGTTGTCGGCTATCTCAAATCATGTGTCTATTCCTCGATTACCCTGTAAGTTATTCATATTCCTTTAGTCCATAAGGGTCCTCAGATCAAAAGAATCAAAAGGATTTTTCAGAAAAATTAATTAAGTTGTGAGTATTGTTTTAATAGGATAAAGT